TTTGTGGTTTGACTTTCACACCCATAATTGGTTTGATTTATTATTTTGCTAATTAATTGAGCTTTATCATCGAATATTATTTGAGTGAGAACCCTTATTGTGTATTTGTGGTTTGACTTTCACACCTATAATCGGTTTGATTTATTATAACGGCGTTAAATATATTTTAATTGGTTTCGTTTTTTTTTGCGGATTAGTCGTGGTATTTGGATTTTAAATATGGTTGTGACTACGAGTACGACGTCTGTGCTGGGCGGTACGCCTATTACGTCTACTATTGCTACGACGAGTTCTGGGGTTAGCTCCGAACTGTCGGTGATGACGACATCGTCATTGTGGCCGGCGTCTTCGCCCGTTTGGCCGACAATTTCTTCGGTAGTGGCTACGACGGTGACAACTTCGTTGACCTATTCCGCGCCAGCGACTTTGTCCTTGGGGTCGCAGCCCCGGGACGTTCGCGTGGGATGGATCTATGACCTCTCGAAAGGGGAGCTCATGAGGACGATGGACCAGTATGGTTTGGTGACCACTGGTACTTCTGCGGAATTACGGCAGCGATTCTCGTCGTTTTGGAAGCAGCGGAATGCCCGTCGGTACAGCGATGATAGGCTGTGTACAGCTGGGGCTACTGCACCGACATATTTACCGCCCGCTACTACAACTGTGGAGCTTCCTGACCCCTCGAGAACCGTACCTCAGGTACTGGGTAATGCGGAATCGAATCAAGCAGAGATAGTGGGACTTAGCAGGGAGTTAGAGGTGGTTAAAGAGATCCTTGGGTTGTCTTTGGAGACTGATACCCGGACTCTTAGAGAACATCTGGCATCGGTGGTGCGACAGGCGAGGGGCTCGCCGAGTAATGAGGTCGGCTATGGGTTCGAAAGACCCGCCAACCCTACGTCCCCTGTTGTGGCTGCTCCAATGCCTACCTTTGGGTTACCTAGTAGACCCGAGGGATGGCAGCGGCCCAATGATATTTCTGAGAGACCAGCCCGGCCTTCTAGCTTGGAGCTGCCACGAGGCTCGGATATGCTCTCAAATGAGGCCAGCAGGGTGGAGCCAAAGGATTGCTCCAAAGTATGCAACACGGTACGGAAGTGGGGTTTAAGGTTTGATGGCCGACGAGACCCTGTGTCGTTCCTGGAGCGCCTTGAAGAGCTGATGGTCTCGTACTCTATAACATCAGAGGACCTGCTCAGAGCGCTGCCGGAGCTGTTGCAAGGCTCAGCGCTTCTATGGTACAGGAATTGCAAGGAGCTCCTGTATTCATTTGAAGCTTTTCGGCATCAATTTGAGATCCAGTTCCTTCCACCTGGTTATCAGAGGAATTTGGATGAGGAGATCCGGAAAAGGACGCAGGGTGAGACCGAGCACTTCCGGGACTACGTGGTTGCTATAAGTACCTTGCTTAGGCGTAGCGGTACGTTGTCCGAGCATGGTAGATTGGACTTGATCTACAACAACATGCGACCTGAGTACAAACTCATGGTGCGACGGCGGGACTTCCGCAATCTGGCCGAGATGGTTGAGTTGGCCGAAGATTACGAGGCCTATCTGAGAGAGAAGGCGGCCTTTAGACCTCCTCCTTCTCCGAACGTAGCGCTGGTTTTGGAAACCGCCTACACACCCAAAAAGAAGGTGGAGAAGCACGCCGAAACTGCCGCCGTCGAGAAGCGGAGTTTCGGGAGACCATCTCCGGAAGCCGAGTCGCGTGGGCGGGTAGCTTTAAAGTCGGATCGGGTCCACGGTCAACGGCCCGTGACAGCAGCTAGAGCGCCTGAGGGTCCAAAGGGGACGGTGAAATGTTTTAGGTGCCAGGAGATTGGTCACTTTGCCCGAGAATGTGGGAAACCAAGGACCGTCTCCTGTTATGGGTGTGGAAAACCCGGTTTGACGGTGAATCAGTGTGGATGTCGGGCGGGAAACGGCAGGCCAGCTCAGACATCAGGAGGTCAACTGGGCAAGGCCACCCAAAACGAACGACCTCAGAAGAGTGGTCCGAGTGGCTCGGAAAACTAAACAGCTTGGTTGGTGGAGTAGACGAGGACCGGCTGATTTCGGAGACAAGGCCCTTTGTTGAAGTTGTGCTGATGGGCAGCGTTTTTAAGGCGTTATTGGACACTGGGTCCGTAGTTAACCTGGTTGGGCGCGAAGTCGCCGATCATCTTCAATGTCAGGGGGTAGAACCTTTTAAGAAACCCTCTCCTCTAAGGATGGCAGATGGGTCACGGTCTAGAGCCGAGTATTCATTCCGATTGGCAGGTGAAGCTGCGGGGAGACGGTGGGTTGGAGACGCCTTATACGTTCCCACTCTTACCACTGATATGATTTTGGGTATGGATGTCATACGAGATCTCGGACTTGTGACGGTCGTGACGGAGGTGATAAGAATGGGCGTGGGTGATGACTGTTCTGGTCAAGGTGGCCGCATAGACAGTGTCAAAATTGGTGACGAAGACCCCGAAGGCCCTTGCAATGGAAATCCCCGTCTGGTTCCTGATGCCAAATCTTTCAGTACCATGTTGGCTGGTAGTGGCTAGTAGAAGAGTTTTTCTTTGTTTTGAGTTTGAGACCCGTGGTAAAAGAGGAATCATTGGGTTAAGAGCCGGAGTATTTTGTTTTGGCCGGAGTTCAAAGATTTTTTTTTCTTTTGGCCGTTTTCTTTTTTTTCATCCCGATGTAAGTGGGGGGTGTAACGAGCTATTTTCCCTAGGGGGGTATATTTTTGCTATTTGGCCGCGCCATGGTTGTTGAAGTAAGCAAGCGGCGGCGGCGAACCTGGCCAGCGCCCTTTGACCCGGCTTATCAGTTCGGATAAGCTTGGGTATCCTGGAATTACCGGACAGCCGAGAACGGACAGTCGAGTCGTGGATCCCGGACAGTGAGGATAGTGTGGTGTCTTGTGGACGACTGGGATACGTCGGTGTGGTGTACGTAGAGAGGAGCGTACGTGACCGTGACAGTGGTGTCGGAGTACGTTGGTGGTGTGATCGCGCCGAGTGTTGGTGTAAGTTGGGTACTGACCCACTTGTGGTGAGTGGACGACTTGATATTATTCGTTTGATAATATTAATATCTGGTTTTATTGCGAGAGTTAGAGTTGTAACCGTGCTGGTCAAAGCCTGACGGTAGTTAGGATTTATTTACAGGTGTCAGGAATAAAAGTATATTCCTGACGGTTCTGGGCAGGTGCTAGAGCGCAAATAATATAGTTTATTGACTGTAGTAGTTATTATTTTGCGTTGTACCAAGAGTTAGTTATATTACTAATAACTCTGAGGCCCGACAAACCTAGGCTGCACGATTTAGCGTGCGTAGTTGGAAGCACGAGGCCAGTAGGCTAGTAGCTAGTTTTATTAGCCTATTAACAGAAGCCCGGCTAAGCAATATAACGTTGATATAGTAGCAGTAGTGGTAGTAGCAGTAGGGTTGGTATTGATTAATCATTTGATTAACTTAATTTAACCTGAACAGCTTGTTTAGTAATCCAACACGTTATCTCGGTAGCTTGGGTAGCGGAGTACCGGCTATCAGATAATATATTTATCTAGTGTTTGGATCGTATTTAATATTTATTTATCTGTTACTAAGTAGCTCAATAATTTAATAATAGTGCAATTGCCATTTAGTTTTGCTTGTTTGGCTTGGTATTTATTGAGACCAGCTACTAGTGGTGTAGTCACTCTACCTATAGTGTACTTGTATATTATTATGTGGTACGATTATTGAGTGAACTGTTTGATTCTTAGCTTGGGCATTAGAGTTGTGTATTGGATTATAGTGGCCTAGTAGACCCCGCCTGGTGATAACACGCGTTGTGGTTTTTATTGGCAAGTCGTCGTGTAACTCACCGTGTTTTAGGCACTCTGGGCTTAACTATTGGATAGTTAGGACGAAGCCCGAGTTGCGTAGTCAGCAACGACCCCCTAGGAGAGTGGAGAATCGGCGTAGGCCTGGTGGTGATTATTGCACGTTTGTTTTGGTGACTTGTTTTTGACTTGTTCACAGTGCCCGTGTATGAGCCAGTCCTATACCGGTTAGACCCGGCTTTTGGCCTAGTGGTTTCCCTGACCTTATCGCAGACCCTGGAATTTTACCCAGCCATTGTAGGCTGAGCTATCCCCGGCAAACGGTTGCGACTGACTGCACTTTTAATATTTTTTTTCCAGTGCAGAAAACTGCGTCGCAAATGTAAATACATATAGGTAAAAAACCCACAGTTCCATTTGATTCTGATTAATAAGAACAAAATGGTGAAGCATCAAAACAACAAAACTGTAGTCTGTTCATAAAGTGTAGGCGATTTGAGGGAAAGTTCCCCCACCACTCTTTTCTGCTCTATGTAGGTTGCGCTGATTGACGTTTTGACAAATCTCAGCTGTTGAGCTATGTTTAAATGGTAGGATCAAGACGTGGAGGGATAGATTTCTTCCCCTAAAACCGCCTACATTTTGTCAACAGAGTATAGCAAAAGAGTGCATAGCAATTTATAGGCATCAGTCAAAATGAAAGATTTTGAATCTAATCAATTTTATTTATCAGTTTAAAAAAATCAAGAATGAATTGAAAATGTTTTTGCAGGTAAATAACTTCTTCAAAAGCAGTCCACTATTTTGTTTCCCTATTTTGTTTTTATTGGTCGGAATCAATTGGGGCTTGGGGATGTTTTTATTAATACATGTGTTTGTTGCAGCTGTTGAGTTTTAAGTTTGTTCAATGTTTCTGATATCTTAATTCAAAACCTCTTCGTGGGACATCCTATATATACCTGTATATAACAGGATATGAGGAATATGACTTGTGGCTACTTACAGGATACTACAGTTTTGTAAATATTAATTGACAAATTGTTGAGAAAACGTGCAAGGTTCCTACAAAAGACAAGTATATTGGTAAAGAAGCATGTAAAACATACAGAACCCATAGAATGAGAACACCAAACAAAATTACTCCTAAATAGAATATAAGAAGTGGTTGCAAAAATTCAAGGAAAATATTACAGCAGTAGTGATGTGGCCTTTCTGTAATAGAACCCAGAAAGGTGTACAGATTCTAGGAAATTTCTATAGCCCCTCAACCGCAGAAACTCGGCGAGATACATTTTGACCCGAATTTCCAGGCTAGATCCAGGCTCTGCTTGATGACTCAAAAGCTTGTTTAGAAGATTCTCCTCCTGTATCCACTTAGCACCTGGCCACTGCTCTAGGTAACGGACAGTACCTACAGAAAAAAATGTATAGATGAATCTTAAATAAATACATTAGATAATAAACTTCTTGATCAGCACTGTACGTGTTATTAAATTTACGGAAAAGTAAATAAAAGAAACGTCTTATAACACTTAAAATTCAATTCAATTCAATTCAATTCAAAACCACTTTATTCATTTCCTGTACATAATACATTGAATAGTGTCAACAGTTGCTTAGGCCTAATAGTTATGAAATACATTTCTAACATAATAAAATAAAAACTAAATTTTACAAACTTAATTTTTTTTTTTAGTCTAAACAAAAAATACATAAATTGAATTTGTTTTTGACTTTAAAGACTATTCAACTCTTCAAAAGAAAAAATAGCCTTGCTGATGAGAAATCTCTTTAATTAACCATTAACAAAACCATATATTTACGCTTATACTGTTACTCACAAGACGGTTAGTATACATAAAAGATGGTAAGTGGTGATCGATTTCGATTGGACACTCCAATCATCATCAGACCCAATAGGCGAATGACAAGAATCTTGAATAGCGTCCCTACTTAGATCTCCAGTTGTACTTATAAAAATGTATTGGCCGGTGCTTCTGATAGCCAATAGGAAACATTTGATTTGTTTACAATTTATCTGTGTTTCTGTTTTTAGTTGTGTATGAAGCTGTACAATGTAAATATAGATTTTTTAAATCCAGGTTATTTAGTGGAACATTTATCAGGACTAATTTAAATATAAAATATCTTAATATTTAATTTACCACAAGATTTTATGTAATTTACTTACCCAGAATCCGGGCTTTCAAGAACAAAAGTTCCTGATTTTCTGGGGACTGGTCATCATCTAAAACTTTGACAAAGAGGATTGCGGCTCGTTTGCAGCATTTTGCTCCGAAATGTTCATAAAATGAACCTTTGATATAAGTTACGGCCCATTCTGGAGTTGGTCCCCTATATCCCTATAAGAAAAGATGTTAAAGTAAAAAATTGACAGTTGTAGTTATATAATTGTATGTTATATAATGGTAAAAAATATTTAGATTGTTGTGAGTTGTTCATTACCCATTTAAGGTTTAACTCAGTAGAATGCTATAGCTATAATCAATCAATTCTCTGTAGCCACTTCTTTTAAATCTGAATTAGTGTTAAATTTGTCTATTCGTTTAAGCTCACCAACTTAACTAAAGTTATTTAATTTCAATTCATGTGTTAATAATAAAACGTTTTGCTTTGGAGGGAATAAATCTACTAATTTCTGTAGCACCAAGAATACTACACTTAATACTCTTTTTTTACAGTTGTATTCACCTATAGATAATAAAGTGTACCATTCCAGTGAGTAGTGGGCATAGGTAAAAACACAGTTTCAAATTCACGTAGCAAATATTTTTAGTTGGGGTACAATCTTTGAAACTAAACACAAATATAGAGAATAAGTTTTTGGCATTTTTTGCAAGTAAATTCTTTTTAGTTGTTTTCACAAGTATGTAATTTTTATTTTCATTTTTTTTTTGTTTTTTGTGCCATACAGAATGCACCATGTGTATTTTCAGGAATATATTTTACATCAATTTAGAACATGTTTCTCTGTACTTGTGATTTTTGTAAATACTAATCATTTAAAATAAGAGTAGGATTCTAATTAATCTTTGTTTTATCTGAAGTTTCTATGGGCTCTCAGGTGGGTTTGTCTCTTTTAATGGAGGAAATCTTTGACGACATAATATCTTATCAAAATGTGAATGCACACATATACGAAGACATATCGACATTTAATTTTTTCAGTGAGTTTAATGCAGATATTAAAAATAGTTTAACGATTCTTAGTCTAAATATTAGAAGTTATAGTAAAAATATAGACGAGCTGATTATTATTTTAGATAGTTATGTATATCATTTTGATATAATTGTTTTAACTGAGACTTGGGTGGATGAATCTAGTGCGAATGTGAGTATGGATGGTTATAACGTGTTTATGAACAAAGAGAGTAGAAATCGTAATGATGGTGTGATTGTATTCGTGAAAAAGTGTTTTTCTGCGTGCATGGAGGAGGTTGGTATGTTTGGAGCGACGTGTGTTAAAGTAGATGTATCGTTTGGCGGTGCGTGGATTTCGCTGCTATCGGTGTACAGGAGTCCGTCTAGTGATCTATCTCTCTTTATTGACGACCTTGAAGCCTACTTAGATAATAGACCCAGGGATAGGACACACTGGCTGGTCGGCGACATTAACTGCTGCATTTTACCAAATAAAGTAGACAATCTCTCACAACGCTACTTGGATGTTTTATATGGTTCAGGTTTTATTAGTTGTATAAATTTGCCAACCAGAGTTACAGAAGATACAGAAAGCTGTCTGGATCATTTTTTCACCGACTGTAAAAACACTAACTCCATTAAATCCGCAATCATTAAATGTGCTCTAACGGACCATTTTTTCACGGTTGCACAATTACAAGATCCGAAAGATATCTCAGATGCCACTCCAATTTTACAAGCCAAAACAGAGAAAACGTGTTTGGATTTTTCTATTGCAAACCGCCTTATCTCTGATACGGACTGGTCTGTTATCACGGATGTAAACGACGTTAATGATAGTTGTAATCTTTTTGTTAATAAGTTACAAGAAATTATTTCATTATCTACTACAAGGAAAACAATTTCATCAAAGGAGTTTAAAATAAAACCTTGGATTATGTCTGGTATTGTCAGATCGATCCGTGTCAGAGATAGGATGAGTAGACGTTTAAAAAATCAACCCTTTAATGCAGTCTTAAAACTACGTTTTAAAAAATACAGAAACGCCCTTAGTAAGATTATTGCTTCTGCTAAACTTCTTTATTATCGCAGGAAATTAAATGAATCTCGGAACGACAACAAAAAATTATGGAACAATATAACTGAAATCATGGGTACAAAAAAGATTAAGGAGGATTTCCCTATCAACCAGTTTCTAGGTAAAAGGATTTGTATAGGTACAGATGATATTATAGAAGCTGCGAATACTTTTAACGAATATTACGTCAATGTAGGAGCCGACTTAGCCAGTTCTGTCCCCCCTGTGTCTGAACCTATCGTGAGAGATGAGGATTACCGGACGGACTCTACCTTCCAGCTGACGCCTATTTCAGAGATAGATTTAGTAAAATTGGTCAATAATATGAAAGGTGGCTCTGCCCCAGGTGTAGATGGAATTCCAACTAAATTAATCAAGCTAAACATAAATATACTTAAATCGCCAATTCTTTATATTATAAACATGAGTTTTTCAAACTAGGGAAAGTAATTCCAATCTACAAGAGTGGACAGAAAAACCAATGTGTGAGTTTCAGACCAATTACATTAACAAGTGTGTTGTCTAAATTATTAGAAAAGTGCGTTAGGGAGCAGCTAGAAAATTATTTGATGGTTAACAACATTTTATTTGAAAACCAATTTGGCTTTAGGAAGGATAAAAATTTAAATGATGACCTTTTTCTACTCACTAAAAATATTCATGACGCAGTTGGGAGAAATAAGAAACCTCTTTTAGTCTTTATAGATTTGGCCAAAGCTTTCGATACAGTTGACAGGGAAATTTTACTGAACAAATTGAGCTTAATAGGCGTCCGTGGGGTTGCACTGGAGTGGTTTAGGAGTTATTTTAGTAATCGATTTCAAGTTGTGTCAATTTTGGGCCACTCCAGTGTACCTCAACTGATTGAATTTGGGGTTTTCCAAGGAAGTTCGCTTGGGCCTCTATTGTTCCTCGTTTATATAAATAATCTAGGTAGGGTCTTATTGGATGGTGGAAAACTTTTCCTTTACGCCGACGATTCCGTTTTACTTTTTGAAGGCGACAGCTGGGAGCAAGTGTACCGTGTGGCTGAGCGGGGCCTTCGCGCTGTCAAGCAGTGGTTCGACCAGAGTCGGCTCTCAGTCAATATTTCCAAAACCAAATATATGCCAGTGTCTGTGAGAGCCGACCACGACCCGGTCGGCCTGCATCTGCGTTTGCACACGTGCGGAAGTGCGAGGCTGTATGAATGCGTGATGTGTGAGTGCATTGAGAGAGTATCTGAATATAAATATCTGGGTATCATCTTTGACAACCGCTTAAAATGGAATTGCCATATTACTTATGTAAGAAGTAAGCTGCGTAAAGTATCTTTTATCTTTTCACGCATCAACAGGATACTTCCCCCCGACTTGATTAGAACTGTGTATTATGCTTATGTACAATCTCTATTGCAATATGGAATCTTAGCTTGGGGTGGTTGTTATCAAAATGTTTTATCGCCACTTGAAACAATTCAAAAATCTATTATCAAGATAGCACTAAAAAAAAATCGCCGTTATCCCTCAAACATTTTGTTCAACGAATTCAAAGTTCTTAATATACCCCAACTCTTTATAAAAAATATAATTCTGTATATTCATAAAAATGAAACGTTCTTGTTCCAACATATTACACATCAATACCATACTAGATCAACAACTAATCATGGAATTATTACTCCTAGATTAACAAAATCAATAAACAGCACTTCGTCTTTTTATCTTGCAAACATAATTTATTCCCAACTTCCACTAATTATTAAATCCCCCCCTCCTTGCAGTCTACGTCATACAAAAAAATTATTGACAAATGGTTACTAGAAGTTGGCCGTCACAGAATAAGAAACTATTTCACCTCCATTTACATATAGATACTACTATCATTTCATCAACAACTGCAGTATATCTATGCCGTTGCGTGCGTGTATGTTTGTGTGTGTTGTGTGTGTGTGCGTGAGTTTGAGGTGGGTGTGTGTGTGGTGTGCCAGGGGTACCCCGCTAGGCTGGACCACAGGGACAGTGCAGTGACGGTTTTTTTTAAAAAGAGCTACCAGCCGCCTGTGGGTCCCGGGGCGGGTACTATGGAAGGTAGTGGCTGTGAACGTATGTTGTGGTGAGTGTGGTTCTTTTGTGAGTTTGTGTAGGTATGAGTGGTCTGTGTGAATGTGTTAGGGCTATGTGAGTAGAATGTATGTGCCAAGTCTCAGGCATTTCAAATTATGTGTTATTTCTAATGGTAATCTATATATATAAAAGGCTTTTCCTATATTTTAACGTGCAAACTGAACGCGTGATATATGTGTGCATTAATTTTTCATACACTGAATCGTTTTGTATATATTTACCTCGTAAACTAGTTTTTTTTATTATTTATCTTTTCTTGTAATCCAAATTATGTGTACAATGTATATTATTTTCCCTTTTTAAAAGTAGCCTAAATTTATTGTTTTATTGTGCGGATGATGGACTCAATCCCCAACCACAGGCATTAGCCCATTTGGGGATTACATTTCAGTAATTGTGTTTGTACCATTGTAAATGATGTACTGTAATGAAATAAAAAGGATTCATTCATTCATTCATTCATTCAATTATCTTCTTTGCTTGCACATAAATACAAGAAATGGTGTCACATGTCCAGGACCTATCTTTCTCTCTTGGGAGGAAACTTTACAATAGGACCGCAATAATTTGAACCTTCTTAGTTAGTTTGATAACTAGAATTTTTTATCATTTCCCTTATAATCGAGGTTTATCTCATCATTTAATTAAGTTTATTGTTGTTATTGTAACTGTGTCTAATAGGCAAAGTTTATTATAATAAACTCAGTTTTCTAAATAAAAATAGCTCAAACATGAGCTATAACTACATTTGACATCTTCTGGCAAAAGTAAACACAGGGTGTGGCAAAAAAACCTATTCATTTTCTGCAGCGCACTGTTCAGCGACAGGTAGTCTGAGGGTGGTGAGAGTAGGCTCGTTGGAAAGCCTATACAATGCCATTTTTTGTAGTCACAGAGCAGTGGTCATATGAGCTACGTGCGGTTGTTATCGAGTCGTTTTTAAAAACTAATGATTTAGTCATTGCAACTCAGTAGCAGTTCCGCGCTTTTATTCAATTAGGTCGACATAGGGAAGTTCCGTCGTGATTATCTGCATGGATGAATACCAAATTAAACAGGGAGTATTTCATTTGGTCCAAAATCGTTTGGTCCAACAGTTGTAAAACAGTTTGTTTGGTCCAAAATCGTTTTATCCTCCAGTTGGGTAGTATTTAATTTTGTCCAAAATTAGTGATGGGCGGATCCAAGAAAATGTCGGTACCGGATCCGGATCCAGATACACACTGTCATAAGGGCGGGTTAAAAATACTCAACAAATTCACTACGTCGTTTATTTCGCCATTTATTATTGATTATTAACTCAAATCTTAGTTCATGTTGTGTCCAGTTGACTTATATACTAAATATTCAATATGTTGAACAATCCACGTATTTCAGTGTTATAATGCTTTAATTAATCAATCTTTCATCAAAGCTGGCTCTTGGGGCCTGTGAATTGCGGTAAATTGTCTCCTCTGTGTTAAATAATGTGTTCAGTTTACGTTTCCAACAAGAACGATTTGGTCAGGATCTTGAATCGCATGATCAGATCACCAAAATGTGGCACAAAAAATGCCACAAAATTTATTTACCTTAATGTGTCAATGATAAATAAAAGTAGCCTATTTAACATTCATTTTCATAGACTGTAAAAGCCTTCTGCACTTGTATTATTCTGTATTCGGTTACATAATGGGAAATTTTCCAATGATTAAATACACATTTATAACCATAATTTCGTGAACATATGATGATCTGTCTTGAATAATAAGACAAAATATCGGCAAAAGTAGTCAAAAAGGCAGACACCAACCAGTACAATAGATATAACATAATGCAATAAAATATCATTGAAAGAGTTACTGTAATATTAAGACTATACAATAATTTGTAATGGAACGTTATATTGCTAAACATGACATTATACAGAAGAAGATCAATTTTAAAATAAGAAAATAAGATCCTTATATATAATATAATTCTGTAAGACAGAATTTTTACCAGGAAATTGTGGACGTCCAGAAAATATGAGTAGGCTAATTAATGTAATTTTCATGTTCTATTTTAAACTTTTGATCAAGAATTATGGACAACGATGGAGGATCAATAGTAAACACTCCATTGTAAATAGATACAACAATAAAAATTAAGGTGCATGATAAACATTTAAAACACGTTGGTCCACTGAATTTCTATACACTCACACTCTGTATATTAGAAGGTTGCCAAATGTGATAAAAACTGTTAATTTATAAGATTTCCAACCGTATGATACAATATTGAGCTTTAAGTTTGCTTATGTACGTTTAGTGATTTGAATACTACAAAACATGGTGTATTTAACATTTAAAACATAGATAGTCGGCATGTTTAAAACAAAAATTGTATTAATATTATTATTGTATACGTCGGTGGATGTTTGAACGCCTTCAATGTGAGGGACGCAATAGTTTATACCGTTGGACCAAACAAACTCGTATTAATGTGTTGGATAAAACGATTTTGGACCAAACTAACGAGTTTTTTACTGTTGGACCAAACTATTTTGGACCAAACGAACTGTTTTACAACTGTTGGACCAAACGATTTTGGACCAAATGAACGGGAATATAAACGTACAGTATATTTCATAAGTTTACTCCACAATGCAAAATTGTACTTCTAGTTGGGCCTGTACTTTTGGATAAAACGATTTTGGACCAAACGAACGTGTTTTTAACTGTTGGACCAAACGAACGACAATAAAAACGTTGGACCAAACGATTTTGGACCATTTGAAGACCATCCATTAAACAGATTATTATTCTAATATGTAGGGATGAAAATTAACCTCAAAATTTTTGTAACTGAGCGGTCAGACATGTTCAAGGCAGCCGCTTGTTTTCGGGCGGGCCTACGAGAACTGGTTTCCACAGCAGCACGAACTCTTATCGAATGTATATTGTCTGGCGTCCGATCTGACTTTGGAATGCCTGTCAGCTTCCTTTTCAACGCAGAAGCCGTTGTTCTAAAGTAAGTAACCCACCGCATTATTCATTATTGTGCTACGCAACGGAACTTCTCCGTGTCGCCTTAATTGAAAGAATGCATGAAACTGCCGATGAGTCGCAATGAATGAATACACTACTTTATAAAAACGACTTCATAACAACCGCACTAGCTCAGGCGACCACTGCTCTATGACTACAAAAAATGTTATTTTGTGTGCTTTCCAACGAGCCTACTCCCACCACTCTCAGACGACCTGTCGCTGAACAGTGCTCTGCAGAAAATAGATCTGTTTTTTGCCGCACACTGTAGAATCTTTTTTATAGTAAAAAATATAAGGCTGATCAATTTAAAAACAATTTCTACTACTTTACTAATACTGCTATTTAAAACAATAAAATTGTAAACTTTGTAGTGCAACAGTAAAAAATGAAAGCGCATAAAGTTTCTAAAACCCAACTAAACGGTAGTTTAATTTATGTTTAGTTGATTTATGTTTTAGAGTGGTCTGTTTGCTAAGTGTTTGAAAGTGAATAAGGGAGTCATCTGTTTCTTTATGATAGCATGTAATGTCATTGCAATACAATACTCTCACTATAATCTAATCCTGAATAAATCCTCTGCAACACATTTTAACACATTGCCTACCAGGTAACTCTCCAATATATGAGTGGCCATGTTTCACTAACATCTTAAACGTTACAGAGTAAATGTTTCAATACTTTTTATGTCCCCTAGCAAGGGAGTGCAAAACAGACACTCACTAATTTAAATAGTTTTCCAACACCAAACACCGGATCTTGAAACCTCACCATTCTATGTCCTATCTTGCACTATAACATGATCAGATAAAATTAACTCACTAATAAGGTATTGGTGTCGTCAATGCCCATCATTCTTTTAAGTGAATGACACATTTTCCTTGCGGTATCAACCAGCTCAAGTTCAGTTTTAACCAGAACATTTTGATTTTCACAGTCATCGCTGGTTTTTATTACAGAATATGCCTTTATCGGATCCTTATCATACAGCACTTTAAAAATGATGATTTTGTTCAAAAGGCTGAAACAGAAAGAATGAAGAGATTAATAAAATACAATTTCATCACTATATTTTAGTGCTAAAAACACAGTTATATTAAATACCCCGCCAGAGCTAACCTACAGACTAAGAAAATGTTCATTTGCCAAATGAACATTTTCATTCAACATTTTTTAATTCTTCTTTATGCCTCTCCAGTGGAAAATAAGTATAATATATTTAATGAAACATTTTGTTATTACTTTAACATATGTTTTCCTAAATCTCTGTAAAGGCAGCACACACAGCCTAACTTGATTAGCAATGAGTTAAAAGAAGAAAAACAAAAAAAAATTAATCTTAGCCAAACAGCCCGAGAGTTAAAATGTAAAACTTTATATAAAAAAGTTAGAAAATTAAATAAAACATTCAGGTCAAAATTCAAACAATGTAAATAGAACCTCTTGGTCTATTATAAATTCAGAAGTGGGAATAGGATCTAAGAATGTACAAAACATTAATTTAAGAGTAGGTAATAAGTTGAATTCTGACCCTGTATTTATTTGTAACAGTTTTATTGAATATTTTTCAAATGTAACTAGTATAATGTCTAACTTTGAACTAGGGATGGTCAAGTCTCGAAATTTCGGGAAATTTTCGGGAAGTTTTCAATCTCAAAACACGAGAAAAGATTACTTTTTGGCCGAGATATGTATAGAGACAAGAATAAAAAAAAAAAAAAAAATAAAAAAAAATTAAAAACGCCTGCAGAAAGTCAATGCAATACCCGCAATACAGGAGCGTGTTGTAGTTGAGTTTCCTTTTCGAAGGCGTTCTTATTTAATTGATTCTTTTAATGTAAATATTACTTTAATTATTTTAATAATATTACTTTAATAACATTTGAGAAGTTTTGTTAAGTGTAAGCAGTGTGAGGAATGTTTTATTACCATAAAAAAAAGTCAAAACAAGTAACTATTTTATAAAAATTAATATTGCTTTTATTTTATGATTTATTTTATTTTAGGATAAGTTGAACTCTATCCTAACTGATATCACCATGTTTCCTAATCGTAGGCATTTTTAATAAGTTACGCGTGATTAATAAAAAAATGTTATGCTGATGTTTTTTAATAAAAGATTGTAAATATTCTTGCCTATTATCATTATTTTTGTATTTAAACAGTCATCTAACAATGTTACAAAATCAGGTAAAAATTTCGAACGTGCATTTCCCGTTGTGTATGAGAAGAGAAATCTCGTCTCGATCTCGTCTCGAAATTTTATGAGAAATAAAAAATCTCGTCTCGTCTCGTCTCGAACTAAAAATCCAATCTCGTCCATCCCTACTTTGAACCAATGTCTGAGAATCAGGTAGACAATGAAATATTTCAGTTTAATAAAAGGTTTCGATTCAGCTTTGTTAATGAGAATGAAATAGATATAATTATTAATAGTCTAAAGAACTCGTTTAGTATGGGTTATGATGAGGTTTCTGTGGTTCTTCTGAAATGTAGGTTCTTCTCCCCTATTTTCAGGCAATAAGCCCTTTCTCTTCAAACCTATATATATATAGTGTTTATTTGAACTGAGCAGCCCCTCATGTAGTAATAATAAGTGAACATGTATTGAATAAAGAAGAATTGCATTGCATTAATTTTTATTAGTGATGGGTCGGTACTTCACGTCAAAAATCGGTTCTGCCGGTTCTTTGCAAAAGAAATCGGTTTTTTGCAACCGAGAATCGATGCCACAAAGGGTTCCAACACTCTGCACCTTTAGCCTTTACTACTCCCTTTACCACTTCCTACGTCATGGACCTGTTTCCCTCCCTTCCTATAGCATTTTAGGATTGCAGGCATCAATCTAACTGCCACAGACGGTTCCCACACTACACACAGCTCACCTTTACTACTTCTTTCACCACTTCCTACGTCGTGGACAAGGTTAAGTTTGCCATTTATGAGATGGATCCATGAATGTGATTCACTGACAGATTGTTTAATATAAAAGTTAATTTTATAACCTTATTTAGCTACGTAAATCAAATCTGTAAAATACTGTACCTAAGGGAGTACCTTTTATCTATGACTCTACCTATTCGATCAGTGGTTGTTTCCAAATTGCGACTTAAATATAAGCTTAACCTTTCTCTGTATAATTTGATGAGTGATCATGATTCAATTTTTCCCCCCTTTGTCCAGTGTATGTCGTGGCTTGATTTTAACATCTGCTATCATTTTCTGTTTGTTTAAATTTACGTCGTTATATTGTAGCCATCTTGGCAACCCATAAGGCCAATGTTAAAATTTAAAAACTTTGAATTACTTTTACATTATATAGGCAATATAAAAAATTAAAATTGGTTTTGTCTAAACCATCTAAACATATGACAAAACAACCTTGGTAAGTTTGGATGAAATATGTTTAGCTGTTATTGAGTTTATCTGTTAGAAAGTTTGCATTGAATTTGATCCCAAAGAGCTTCGCTTCCCTCCGCTCAATAAAACTACTCGCCTTACACTTTAGATTGTGAAGTCCTCAACTAAACAAATAACTTATAAATAATCTAGTAAATAATATGTTCAAGTACCTGTGAAATAGTGTAAGTCCTTCAGTCAAACTGTTTACAAGGCTTAATGTATTGTGGATTGGTTCATCCAAGAACCAAAATTGTTCTTCGGTGACATCCCAATCAACATTAAACTTAAACAGCCATTTCATGTCTATATCAGGTTCTGTAATCAATAAACATTTCTTCTTCTAGTAACTTGAAGGCTATACTGATGTGTTTTCTTAGACTTGATGAGATGATTAATTGTTAAAGTAAACAAAATTGTGCATAAGCATATATCGATCCCTAATCTTCAGGTTATCTTTATTATTCTACATTCTCGATTGTATATTTAACTATTTCTTTCCTGATTATTATTGACATCCAATAAATTAACACATTGTTGATTTTTAAACATCACAGTTCATTTGATGAAAATAAAACTGAGGCAGAACAAAGAAATAATGATTTAGTGCTCCAAGGTGACAATAGTCTGTTCATTACACATCTACCTGCTCCTCTGCTGTGCGGTATGTCACAACAGATTTCATTAGCTAATGGTTAGTAGTCTGTGATTGGGTGATGAGGTTACCACGTAAACTTGTTGGATGTGTGGATATAATAATTTATAACTGCACAGGGTCCCAAGTCCAAAAGACAATCTCTTTAAAAGTTAACATCACAATGTAAATGTTTACTTCTGACAATGACTGTAATTTTGGACTTTGGAATTTTTTATAAATTTGAATAAGCTGTGCTTTTAAACTTTACAGTTTTTACTACTGAACCAAGAATGGCTTGAAAATATCATGATGATAGTGCAAAACAAAACATTCTGAAATTTAGGGGAATTTCCGCCTAACATTTTTTTTTATGAAAGAATTTTTATTTCTTATATATTTTTTAAAGACTAAGATCAAACTGAATACATATACACCCTTTTTAGAGGTGAAGAATTTATATAATAGATTATATTTAGCAATTATCCATGGAGTTGCTTCCATGGAGGTGACATTTTTTTGTTCAGTCCCTCGTAAATCTTAACCTATAGATTCATATATCCAGAGCTTATGTTTTCTGGAAGATAACAGGTGACACCCAAATAAAAAGTTAAATTTAAAATTTTAGCAAATGACATGCATTATTTGTTACACACATGGAGATTTTCAATCGATTTCGTATACTATGTATACTAAATTATTTGTTTTTCTTAGCTCTTTACAATTGTCTAGACAAAAAATGGGAAATTTTTTGTGTTGAGAGTCAAAAATTAGAAAATCCTATTTTTACCACTATGAAACCCTCTGTAAAACCCTGTTCCCATGGTCCGATCATGCTGGTCCGGTAAATTATTCAAGTTTTTCCCCCCTTACACTTTCAAACAAAATTGCATCAAAATCGGACAAAAATTACTCAAGTTCTCGCATTCACGGACGTATATATTATTAAGATCATCTAAGGGGAAGAAGTTGATTTTCAAGATCAAACATGATTCTAATCTTATTAACTAACTTAATATCATAAAAATATGTAGCTAAAAAATGCAAAGCTTAAAAACTTACCTTGAATCTCATCTTTGATTCCTTTTACTTCATCTTTTTTCAGTTCTTTGTCTTCCATTACAGTTGTGTCTTTTGTTTCTTTTTCTTCTTCATTATCAGAAACTGTCAAATCCTCCACAGGCAATATAAGCTTGATATATTCAATGCCTGTATCCTTTGGAGCTTCCTTTTCTTTCTTTTCCACAGATTTTTCTTCTTTCTTAGTCACTTCTTCCTTTGGCTCGTCTTCAGTGATGTCAATCTCTTCTACCACTATTAGCTTCTCAGCAGCAGCCTGAGGAACAAAATTCTGTTTGAGTAGTCAAACCACACAGACAACCTCAGATAAATCGAATAAACAACTTTTATTTTGCAAATACAAAATTTAGGAAAAATACTTATTAGAAGTGTAAACAGGATTCATTTTATTGCCTCATGAATAATAATGTATGGTCATGATATAAATGTTTGGTTAAAGAAAGCAATTCCTTGAGTATTTAAGACTATTACAACTATCAATAACAGCAATAAGTAGATAATTTCTTAAGAAAATGTGAGATTAACCATGTCTGTGGTGGACAAAAGTTATTTTAAGTTTTAAATAAATCAACTATTGATGGACCAAATCCAAAACTGTTCAATTCCAGATTAAATAAAGATGCAAAATGAGCAAAAACAATGGTTTAAAATGAACTAAACATTAACTAATTAATTATTCAGAAAAGATTAGTTTTCAAGTAAGTAGACAAGGTTATCTTTTAATTCTAAATTAAGTAGAATTTGTAAAAGTAGATATGAACACTTCCTTTTTTCTAGTGGGATTTGAATTATGTTGACATATCTTTGAGATGGGATACTGCAATATTAAAAAAAAAAAAAAAAAAAAAAACATCTGCAAAGGTTGCAAAGTTGCAAAACTCACAATATCCCTACTATTGGATGGGAGAAATCATGATGAAATGGCAAATTGAGTAGATGGTGAAGATTTTGTCACAATTAATTGTGAAGATTTTGGAATCATTATCAAAACCTAAGTAGCTATCAAGAATTTATGATCCTTTATCATTATAAGGTATTGATAATCAAAATCATTCCAATCCTAAAATTATACATCTTGGTAGATTATAAAATAAATAAATGGTAACAGAAAACTGACACCTACTTTCTCCTATTCTCTTGGTGTAAATAATTAAATATCATACAAATTTTATGAGCAACCTGTTTAAATTGGGTAAACCGCAGGGTTAGATGTGTTTTTATTTGGAAAATTACTAATATTGCAATAATCTTTTAACCCTAACTCTGTTACAGCATTGGGAGTTGTGCCATTTTGTTTCAAGTTAAAAGAACTAAAAAAAAACACACACACACCTTTGTTGTTAAGGAGTTAAAAGGGCATACTAAATGTTTTTCCAAATTGTTACAACCTGTTTTTTTTCTGTTATTTATCAGGATTTTATAGGAAAATCCCCATTAAAAATAAGCGTCTTGAGAAACCATAGGACCAGGGTGTAGTCTGTAAATTTATACACATATGAAAACAACTTGTTGAGTTCAGTGGGCCCCAAAACGAATATTTTCACTCAAACTCAAAACTATTAAATTAAACAATTCTTTACATATACTATGTATATGGACATTTTACCTTCTGGTCCTCCAGACAGATGGGATGCACCAAATTGCCCTCGTGGTCAGCTGCATTGCGGAGATGCCACTCGTCCTTCTCCTCGTTGTAGGAAGACTCAAACTTGACATGACACATATGACAAGCTGCTTTTTCCGGGTAGTCTGCAGCTCTCACACTCACCATGACCCGCTCTGGTTTATCCTCTTCACCAGCGTCATATTGCATCTCAAAGCATGGATGGGCTGAACAATACAGTTTTATTTTATATCTCGAGCTGGTATATATGTATATACATACAGGGTGCCTCTTAAGTAAACTTCGGGAAATGGTTCTATGGGTCAAAATAAAGAGAAAATTAAGAATAACAATTTTTCCAAAATCGCTTCGTTAACCAGATATCCGCCATTTTGTATTTTTTACATAAATATTTTATTTTTGATTTTTTCAACCAATCTTTATAAAACTAGGTACAGTGGAGTCCCGATAATCCGAACTTCGGTAATCCGAAAGTCCGCTTAATCCGAAACCAAAAAATATATTTTTTAATTAAAAAAAAATTTTGAAAATTTTTTAAATTTTTTTTTGAAATTTTTTGAAATTTTTTTCGAAATTTTTACAATTTTTTTCGAAATTTTTTGAAGTTTTTTGGAAAGTTTTTGACACAGTTAGCTGTACCTCGTCAAAGTATTCTGTAGCGGCTGGGCGAGATAGACTTTTTTGTAGAGTATTTTAGTAAATTATTATTTCACCATTTTTGTTAGTACCGTAACATTTTACATTTTCGTCCGCCAAATCACAAATGGATTTTACTAAGTGATAATGCTGCATTCAATAGGTCTAGCCTTAAGTAATGTGAAAAACAATCCCGGGCTCGTGCCTGCGTCCGAAAAAAAAGTAGTAAGAATGAGACAAAAAAATTTCAAAAAATAAAAAAATTTCAAAAAAAATTTCAAAAAAAAAAAATTTTAATTAAAAAAATAAAAAAAAACAAAAAAACGTTTAATCCGAAATATTCAGTAATCCGAAATGGGCCCGGTCCCAACCATTTCGGACTAACGGGACTCTACTGTATGTAGGTTAAGGTAGAAGAGCTACATGTTAGAAAAAAAATCATCTTTAATCAACTTAAAACTTAAACATGGCGGCCATTTAATTTTTTTACCTTAAATTACACAAAAACGGCTGATTTTGTGGAAAAATGTAAAAATGCTTTTATTTCCAATTTTCAATTCCCTATCAATCGGTACCAAATTTAAAAAAATTGAATAGGAAATAGCTGAAATATTAAGATATTTAGTTGAAAAATGGGGTAGAATTAGGCTAAGATGGTTCCGGTTTGCTCCATTTTTCAACTAAAAATCTTAATATTTCAGCTATTTCTTATTCCATCTTCTTGAACATCGTACCGTTTGATAGGGAATCAAAAATGCTAAATAAAAGTGTACTTGATATTTTTTCATAAAACAAGCTGTTAGTTGTGAAAATTTGAATAGTTTTTGAATAAAACAGCTTAGGCCTTTATCGAAACTCTTTCTTATGCAAAATTTTTAAAACTTTAACCATTATTATCTTTGAAACGATTAGGTTTATGAAAAAATCACAAGAATAAAATCGTCTTAAAATTACATTTTCTACCGGAATACATCATAAAATACAGAGTGTTCCGTAAGAAAAATCAAAGTTGGCGGCCATATTAGAAAAATGGCGGCTAAAATCATTTTTTGACTTGACTAAAATTTTTAAAATAAAAAATCCAAGGCACTTACCATTTAACTTTTCTTGATATCATAGTTTTAGAATAAAACGGCTGGCACACTTATATCAATCACCATGTATAATTTTTTTTAAGAATAGTGTTTTTGGCCTCTAAAAGGGGGAAAATCAGTTGTAACTACTGAGCAAAGATTACACTGAAAATACAAAGATTCCTCGATAGGAGAAAATAGTTCCGATCAAATACTGATTATTTTACATAGCCCTTTCCCACCATGACTGAATCCCCGAAGTACTGATGCATTCCGAGTAAACTAAACTAATTACATCTAAGGGTTTTAATTGGCATAAAACTATTACCGTATACTAAATCCCAATGAATAAAAGCAGACAAAATCTCAGTTTCTTTAGAACTAGTGGTATAAAAGCAAAAAATAGTAGTCACAAGCCATATCGAAAATCGTGAACATCGTCGGGGACGTCATTGTTGTTCCCGCGGTCTCAAAAAAGTCATCGTCGTCATCCGCAATCACGGCTAAATTATCAACATTTTCCATGGTCAAGAAGACATCGTCATCGACTACATCAGCCACGGAATCGGCATTGTTGTCGTCCATCATTGAGGCAAAATCATTACAATTTCTGACTTAGATATATCAAAATTAAGACTAAATCCCGACTTTTTAAGACCATTTTGAAATTCAGTACTTATTCCCGACTTTCCTGTTTTTCCCGACTACTAGACACCCTGTACCTAGGTTTGCTGCTACAGGGAGGCTAATAAAGTATGTTTTAGTAATATATTAGTAGCTTAGTGTAAAATAAATAAATTTGCCAAGTTTGATCAAAATATTTTCATAAACATGCAAACTACAACATTTTACAATATTCTCCATGACCATAAGAATAACAAAGGAATTTTAAATTAGCAATTTTTGGATTTTTTTCTGTGACCAATAACCGTGCAAAAACACTTTAGTATACTAAATTATTAGTATTTCTTAGCTCTTTATTTGTCTAGACAGAAATTGGGTAATTTTGTGAGTTGAGAGTCAAAAATTAGAAAATCCTATTTTTACCACTATGAAACCCTCTGTAAAACCCTGTTCCCATGGTCCGATCATGCTGGCCCGGTAAATTATTCAAGTTTTTCCCCCCTTACACTTTCAAACAAAATTGCATCAAAATCGGACAAAAATTACTCAAGTTCTCGCATTCACGGACGTATATATTATAAAGATCATCTAAGGGGAAGAAGTTGATTTTCAGGATCAAACATGATTCAATCTTATTAACTAACTTAAGATCATAAGAATACGTAGCTAAAAAAGGCAAAGCTTAAAAACATACTTTGAATATCATCTTTCGATTCCTGGGGTATTGTCTTTGTCTCTGTTGTTGTTGATGTTACTTCTTCTAATGGTTTTACTTCATCTTTTTTCAGTTCTTTGTCTTCGATTACAGTTGTGTCTTTTGTTTCTTTTTCTTCTTCATTATCAGAAACTGTCAAATCCTCCACAGGCAATACAAGCTTGATATATTCAATGTCTGTATCCTTTGGAGCTTCCTTTTCTTTCTTTTCCACAGATTCTTCTTCTTTCTTAGTCACTTCTTCCTTTGGCTCGTCTTCAGTGATGTCAATCTCTTCTACCACTATTAGCTTCTCAGCAGCAGCCTGAGGAACAAAATTCTGTTTGAGTAGTCAAACCACACAGACAACCTCAGATAAATCGAATAAACAACTTTTATTTTGCAAATACAAAATTTAGGAAAAATACTTATTAGAAGTGTAAACAGGATTCATTTTATTGCCTCATGAATAATAATGTATGGTCATTAGGGGTCTGCGGTGCACCGAAAAAGTCGGTACGGTACGGTACAAGCTTAATTACCGTCATCGGTTCGGTACAGCATTTTACACGGTACAAATTCGGTACAAATTCGGTTCGGTACAGCCTATTATAATAATAAATTACTTTCAGTTTACTATCGTAGTCAACGGCAGTTGGTTCCGAGCACATAAAAGTCTTATTAGATGTTTGTTTACGATCTTCATAATTTATTACTAGCGTGATGATACAATAAAAAACCCATTAGCAGTCCCAAATCCATTAACATTTTATCACGACAATAATTGTTGTATTGAAGTACTTCCAAGAACTGTTGAGTTTTATCACTTTTATTTCTTTACGACTTTCCCCAATTCTGTTTTATCATAAAAATAATAGTTTTATGATGACTGTTGAATGTTATCTCTAACTTAATCAGTATTTTCGTGAATATTGAATTTGCCGCTGGCCATTGCCTACTGCCATAAAACTGTTTATGGCTACATATTAAACTTGTAACAATTCTACAATCTTATTTTATAAATTAAATATTTGTTATGGATATTTTATCTTTCTATTGACGACCATGGATATATACAAACATTTGTCGTAATTTTAATTTCAACATCAAAATACAATATTGCACAATCGTGATATTTTAGGCCATTGACCTTTATTATGCATCCGGTATTGCTGTTTCAGAAGAGAAGCACGTTGATAAATTATAAATTGATATTCCCGTAGTTAAAAAGAATTATTTTATAAACCTATAAAACAAAATCATAAAATCTTACATAAAGATAACAATAACGGAAATTGTAAAAAGGGTATAAAGATAACAACGTCATTCTTTCTCTTTGTTCTTCTATTTCTTGGGTTTCCCTTCATCACGCATTCAACAAGTTGCCATGGTTACTAATCACCCATGTCGTTATCAGCTTTTGTGACATAGCGCACAGCAGGGGGTAAAACTTGACGAAAATCGGTAAATTTTTACCTATTATTTAATTACCAATGAATGAACGGTACTACTTTATTGGTATTTGGTATTGTATTAATAATCGGTCCAAATGGCAGATTATTGTCAAATTTTACACCAAATTTATTGAAATTTCAAGGTGAATATTAATAAAACAATTATTACCAAATATTTGTATTCATTTAAAAGATTGATTTGTGGTATTGGCTCCCCCCTGAGTGCAGCCGAGCGGCACTAATGAGGGTCGGACCTTCTTGGGGGTGAACAATAGACGGCTTATCAGACCCTCCCCTCCCCCGTGGTCTGGAGAAAGCATGTAAACAAACTATTGCACAAGCGTGCGTGACTTGACATTGAGCTGCTTCAACTATAATTTTGTCAAATGAACTGTGATGTTTCAAAATCAAAAACAATAATTTGGGACCATACTGCTTAACAATAATGGACTGCAATTATTGTTGAACATACAATCCATTTTTAACAAACTAAGATTATACGATTCAAATACAATTATAAAAATTATCTTGGTATTTTACTTGGGGTAATGAAGTTATGTAGGCTAGTGTAATTCTTGGTTCATCAAGGTTCTACTGAATTATGTTTGGCAGTGAATAAGTGTAGAATGCAATTTATAAATTCAGGGATACACACCTTTTACACAGTTATAAAGTCTAATTGCCCAACATCAAATCTTACTCTGTGATAATCCAAATTTTAGTTTTAGAAAAAAACTTTGCAAGAATTGTATCAATCTTATAACTTAACTAGTTTTGAAGCTGATACAAAAAATGGTCTTTGCCATTACTTCATCATAACCTCCAGTTTTTCATTGTCATCTGCTGTGAACAGCTGGCAAAACTACACTGTCTTCTACTGAATGCTTTTATATGTTTTTAAAATAAAAGAAAAAGAACTAGACATTGTGTTGGTTGGAAATAATTTATCAGTTTTGTGAAATTATCTTGTCAATAAATGTTTCAAACATGTTTATTCATAAAAACTCTCATCCTATTTTTAAACTACTTTATCATGGCTATTCAAAGTATCTCAGAGTAAAATAGGTAAAGCCTTTATCTCAACTGTGATTTTTCTTGACACAATCCTCGTAGTAGTAAAAGGTTTTGTTTTAATAATATGTGGTACAGTAATTGTTGTTAGAAAACCATGAATGTAGGATACTATCCATTTTCATAGTAATGTCTATGTATTAAAGTTAAAAATAATGGTTTGGATACAGTTCTGAGAAGAAAACCGCAAAAATACGGGTAGCCGCGTACCGTACCGATTTTGTACCGAGAACCGAGGTACAAAATATTGTACCGTACCGAACCGTACCGACCTTAAATTTTCTGTACCGCAGACCCCTAATGGTCATGATACAAATGTTTGGTTAAAGAAAGTAATTCCTTGAGTATTTAAGACTATTACAACTATCAATGAATAACAGCAATAAGTAAATAATTTCTTAAGAAAATGTGAGACTAACCACGTCTGTGGTGGACAAAAGTTATTTTAAGTTTTAAATAAATCAACTATTGATGGACCAAATCCAAAACTGTTCAATTCCAGATTAAATAAAGATGTAAAATGAGCAAAAACAATGGTTTAAAATGAACTAAACATTAACTAATTAATTATTCAGAAAAGATTAGTTTTCAAGTAAGTAGACAAGGTTATCTTTTAATTCTAAATTAAGTAGAATTTGTAAAAGTAGATATGAACACTTCCTTTTTTCTAGTGGGATTTAAATAATGTTGACATTTCTTTGAGATGGGATACTGATACTGCAATATTTTAAATAAAAAAAACATCTGCAAAGGTTGCAAAGTTGCAAAACTCACAATATCCCTACTATTGGATGGGAGAAATCATGATGAAATGGCAAATTGAGTAGATGGTGAAGATTTTGTCACAATTAATTGTGAAGATTTTGGAATCATTATCAAAACCTAAGTAGCTATCAAGAATTTATGATCCTTTATCATTATAAGGTATTGATAATCAAAATCATTCCGATCCTAAAATTATACATCTTGGTAGATTATAAAATAAATAAATGGTAACAGAAAACTGACACCTACTTTCTCCTATTCTCTTGGTGTAAATAATTAAATATCATACAAATTTTATGAGCAACCTGTTTAAATTGGGTAAACCGCAGGGTTAGATGTGTTTTTATTTGGAAAATTACTAATATTGCAATAATCTTTTAACCCTAACTCTGTTACAGCATTGGGGGTTGTGCCATTTTGTTTCAAATTAAAGAACTAAAAAAAACACACCACACACCTTTGTTGTTAAGGAGTTAAAAGGGCATACTAAATGTTTTTCCAAATTGTTAGAACCTGTTTTTTTCTGTTATTTATCAGGATTTTATAGGAAAATCCCCATTAAAAATAAGCGTCTTGAGAAACCATAGGACCAGGGTGTAGTCTGTAAATTTATACACATATGAAAACAACTTGTTGAGTTCAGTGGGCCCCAAAACGAATATTTTCACTCAAACTCAAAACTATTAAATTAAACAATTCTTTACATATACTATGTATATGGACATTTTACCTTCTGGTCCTCCAGACAGATGGGATGCACCAAATTGCCCTCGTGGTCAGCTGCATTGCGGAGATGCCACTCGTCCTTCTCCTCGTTGTAGGAAGACTCAAACTTGACATGACACATATGACAAGCTGCTTTTTCCGGGTAGTCTGCAGCTCTCACACTCACCATGACCCGCTCTGGTTTATCCTCTTCACCAGCGTCATATTGAATCTCAAACCGTGGTTGGGCTGAACAAAACAGTTTTATAAACTATCTCGAGCTGGTACATATATACAGATATAACAATTTTTAAGAATAGTGTTTTTCGCCTCTAAGGACATCAAAATGAAAAAAGTTTATCAGTCCCGGCTCCAGATATTACCATGCTACTTACGGTAAGCTACTTCCCTATAGGGAAATTTGCTTAAATCAGTACAAAGGGGAAAAAATCAGTTGTAACTATTGAGCAAAGATTAAACTGAAAGTACAAAAATTCCTCGATAGGAGAAAATAGTTCCGATCAAATACTGATTATTTTACATAGCCCTTTCCCTCCAAGACTGAATCCCCGGAGTAGGCCTTCTGATGCATTCCGAGTAAACTAAACTAATTACATCTAAGGGTTTTAATTGGCATAAAACTATTACCGTATACTAAATCCCAATGAATAAAAGCAGACAGAATCTCAGTTTCTTTAGAACTAGTGGTAGAAAAGCAAAAAAATCGCCATTTTGAAAGCCATTTTGTTTTAGAAGCCATTTTGAATTGTATATGATTTTGTTTATATCATATTTTGATCTGCTTTCATTGGTGAGCGTAAAAGTCGAACAACAGGTTTCAATGACTTGAAGGAAGAAAAATCCTGTGTTAGTAGCACCAATGAATACACAAACTATAAAGAAGAACAGGTCCTATGGACAATATTCTAACAGTATTTTCAAATTTGGCGCCCGAAATATCTGTAGTTCTGCACTGAACCACCACTCAGCGCTGTAGTCAAGTTTAGCATGCGGTGAAGTGCGAGAGAGAGCGACATACACTGTTTTCGCCCCCTCTCTCTTTCTCTCGTGGCCTGGCCCACAGGGGACGAAAACGGTGTATGTCGCTCTCTCTCGCACTTCACCGCGTGCTAAACTTGACTACAGCGCTGAGTGGTGGTTCAGTGCAGAACTACAGATATTTCGCGGGCCAAATTTGAAAATACTGTTAGAATATTGTCCATAGGACCTGTTCTTCTTTATAGTTTGTGTATTCATTGGTAGCACTTCAAAGTGAATTGTATTTTGGTTTGGTTGTAAACTTTTACATTACAGAGTTATTATTTCAGCGGTCAAATGTCTATGGTTTGTAATAAAAATGTTTTTTTTATTTTTTATTATAAAATGTCATGTTAACGATATTGTTTTAAAATTCATCGTGTAGCCCTGAACTGTTGATTAGACTAATATTTAAGGTACATATCTTCACGTCCACAGTTCATAAATGTATGGTCAAACCCACCTTATATTGTTTTAACGATTGAACCCAATTAACCACAACTGAGCAAGGCCTCCCCCACCCCTGGTACTATTGATTAATTAATTAAACAACTAAGTTATTTTTTAGTATACTACTGAGGTAAAAAACTGAAACCTTAAACTAAAATCTATTCTATATATAATTCAGTTTTAAAAATCTTTGTACAACTAAATCTAGAGTTCTACTGGACCGATTTTATTAATTAATGGGTCGTTGGAAAGCTTAGGTCGTGTAGATTTGCAAATAATTATGAAAGTTTGTTTTTATTATGATTTAAGGTGAAAAATTTCAAAAAAACATGTTTTCCATAAGAAATACATTGAAAACGGTGTTTTTCACACTTTTTATTTGGGTGCGACTTTTAGCTGCCTTTTTTAGTGTTTCCAAGAAGTGTATGGTATCAATTTGTAGGAAATTTTATTCTCTTTCAGAATATCACCTTCCACTTTGGTCGATTTCCTCACCATTTAAAAGTTATTTGCAAAAAAGCTAAGCAACCTCCGAATTTATAATAATGAGAAAATATTGAGTTTGGGATATTTTTGTTAAACTTTGTACAACTAAATCTAGACTTCTACCGGACCGATTTTGGTAATTAATGAGTCATTGGAAAGCCTTACTCATGTAGATTTGCAAATAATTATGAAAGTTTGATTTTATTTAATATTTGTAATGGAAAAATAAAAATAACAAAAATACATTAAAAACTGTTTTTTTCAGGTTTTTATTTTCAAGTTTATATTTGTAGTCAGCTTTTGGCTGCCTTTATTAAATAATTTCAAGAAATACACAGAAGTTATTTGTAGGAAATTTTATCTTCTTTCAGAATATCACGTGCATTTTCTACGATTTACTCACCATTTAAAAGTTATTGTCAAATTAGATAAGTGACCTCCAAATTTTTAGTTGTTAAAAATACTGAATTAGGGATATTTTTGTTAAACTTTGTACAACTAAATCTAGACTTCTACTGGACCGATTTTGTTAACTAATGTATCGTTGGAAAGCCTAATTTGTGTGGATTTGCAAATAATTATGAAATTTTGATTTTATTAAATATTTGTGGCGAATAAAGAATAAAAAGCAAAAATACATTAAAAACTGTTTTTTTTTATAGTTAATATTTTAAAATTTCAATTTATAGTTAACTTTAGGTTGCCTTTTTTGAATATTTTCAAAAAACGCCAAAGAGTACTTTGTAGCAAATTTTATTTTCTTTCAGAATATCACCTTCCACTTTTGTCGATTTCCTCACCGTTTAAGAGTTATTTGCAAAAAAGCTTAGCAACCTCCTAATTTATTGTGGTGAGAAAATATTGAATTGGAGAGATTTTTGTTAAATTTCTACAACTAAATCTACAGTTCTACTTGACCGATTTTATTAATTAATAGGTCAATAAAATCTGTGTAGATTTCCAAATAATTAGTAAAGTTTGAGTTTTTTTTTATTTATGGTAGTAATACGTTTGCCGGTATGAATAATCTAAAAATTTTTATGGTAGTAATAATGGGTTAGCCAGTATGCATCATCTGGTCATATGGAACACATGTATTAAACAATAGTTTAACAGCTGATTGTTTTATTGTTATTTCCTTGATTTTTCTTTGTTTACTTTTAGTTGTTTACTATTTGAATTGGTGGTTGAGGTCCGTAAAGTGTGTTTATAAAGTGATGTTTTTAATCTGTACCGTACCATTAATAAGTATTGGTAAGTTAAGTGATGTATGGATTTCATAACCAAAAATTATTACTTTAAACTGTCAATTATAAATTATTCAAATTTAATTTATAATTCACAGTTTAAAATAGTATTTAATATTCGTTATTTTGAACTGTTAATTATAAACTCAATATTTTACATTAGTTGAAAAATGAATAACTTTACTCTTCACTACATGGTTGGTGATGGAAACTGTTTCTTTAGAAGTGTCTCATTTTTATGCCATAAATTTCAATCCAGATACAGTGATATACGATCCACGGTAGTTGATGAAGTCGTCAATAACTGGGACTACTATTGTCCTTTGATCGTAGGGGATAAGACATATAGGCTAGAAGTAAAAAACGCGACGGAATACAGAAATTTGATGACCAAAGATGGGGAATACGCCGGTAATGTCGAAATCGAAGCTGCGGCAAGAGTTTTTGACTGCCAATTCAAAATATATGCTGAGAAATTGGATTATTCTGTAACGGTTGGTGAAGGCACAACGATATATAAACTACGATTCTCAGGAAATGTGGATGCTGGGCATTACGATGTTTTGATAGACAATAGTATGCCTGAGAATCAAGAGGATATAATCTTACCAAAATCAAAACGTGGCCGTGCATCAAAAAATAGAAAAAGTAAAACATGTTCTGGCAGACGTGAATCAACAGCTCATAAAAATAAATTGAAGAAACCAAATAGTATGGATAAAGATTTACTCCAAGAGGTAAAAAAGTGTTTATCAAGCAATCAAAAGGATGGAGACCCAGAAAATGAAAAAGAAATAGAACAAGATAGTCTGACCAACACTTCACTCAGAGATGATGCATCTTCCTCAACCTCCTTAATTTGTGTATTGGGAATGCCAATACACAAATTAAATTTAAAAATTGGAGCTGTAATAATTTTGCTACGAAATCTTAACACAAAACGGGGGTTATGTAATGGCACACGATTAATTGTTAAAGAACTCAAGCCCAATTTAATAATTGCAGAGGTTTTAACTGGATCAGCAGCACGTGAAATTGTATTCATTCCAAGGATTGACTTAGCACAGACGCGGTCACAGATTTACCATTTGTTTTAAAGAGACGGCAATTTCCTTTAAAATTAGCGTTTGCTATTACAATAAACATAGCGCAAGGCCAGACATTGGATAAAGTTGGGATATACCTTCCAGTATTCAGCCATGGACAATTGTATGTTGCAATATCAAGGGTTAAAAGGTTTGAAGACATAAAAATTAAAATTATCCCTGGCAAAGAACAAGGAAGATTATTAAAACAATCGGATGAAGTCTTTACAAAGAATGTTGTTTACAAAGAAATACAGTAAATAAAATATTTTTGTAAAATTGTATTTGTTTTTCATTATTTTACTCTTTTAGAATATCAGTTTATTTTCTAAACAATTTCATTCTTAAAAAAATGTTCAGGTACTTACAAGGGCATATATTATGTACTACTGTACTTTCTAGGGACCGTTGTATTTAACTACAACGGGCTCTGTTGCTAGTTATGATTATAAAAAGTATAATGTTACTTAATTTTTTTCAAAGAAGCAACGTAAAAACAATAATAATAAAACCTGGGTGACGGAAGGTATAAGGGTATCAAGCAGAAATAAAAGGCAACTGAGCAAACTTGCAAAAACCAGTAAAGATAAGAATTTTCTAGCTCACTATAAGAATTACAGGAAAATGTTTAAGACTGTATGTGATAAAGCTAGGAATATGTATAATTGTGAAGTAATATCAACTGCTGATAATAAAAGTCAAGCTGTGTGGAATGTTAAGTCTGAGCTCGGATCTTCTGGTAATAAATCCTTAGATTTTCCTGACATTCAAGTTGGAAAGAAGCGCCTAAATGATGATCAGACTATTTCAGATTTTTTCAATAACAAATATTTAAATGTTTTGGGAGACAATAGATGCGGTTGTCGATACTGCAGAAGAATTTGTCAATAATTTTAAAAATAATCAAAAAAATTACTTTAATTTCCACTCTGTAAGCATTTCAAAAGTAAAGGAAACGATCAAAAACCAAAAAAATAAAAAATCAGTTGGATGGGATGGAATTCCCATGGTTATTATCAAAAGGGTAGCTACTTTCATTGCACGTCCTATTTAAATAAATATAAATAAGTGGTTTTATGAAGGCATATTTCCTAATCAGATGAAATATACTGAATTGAAGCCTCTTTTCAAAAAGGGATTAGTGGAAAACCCCGATAACTACCAACCGCCCAATATCAATACTACCCAACATCTCTAAAATCTTTGAAAAAATTGGGGATGCGGAATACTATCCCCCGGAAAACTACCCCCCCCAGGTGAAACGTGACGTCACAAAATCTGCTAACTAACCAATATGGAAGCCGTGTCCGCGACTGGAATACTACCCCCCCTAGTCAAATCATGCTATGTAATTTTAATTTTAATTCGAGTAATTCCGTTGGATAATAGAAAAGGCATGTGGTGAATATAAAACAGATTTTCGAAATGTTACAGCAAGTTTGGTTGGTTAGGTTAGGTTAGATTAGAACTGTTTGACAACTAAATTTGAGTGTCCGTGACTGGAAAACTGCCCCCCCCCCCCCCCGGTCTCTGACGTCAATATGACGTAGGAACCTGCTTGGGGGGGTAGTTTTCCGGGGGGCAGTCATCCGGCGACCCAAAAAATTGCATACAATCAAATTTATTCTTTTTTTGATGCTAGCAAACTATTTGCTGACCAGCAGTTTGGTTTTAGATCTGGAATGAGCACAATATCTGTTTTCTCTGATTTCATAAATCAGGTGTCGGAGGGTTTGGATGGGTCACAGAGTACAGCGGCTGTATTCTGTGACCTTTCCAAGGCCTTTGATTCTGTAGATTACGATATTCTGTTGACAAAACTTAGATACTACAAATTTTCTGCTAAGTCATTGTCTTGGATACAATCTTACTTGAGCGATAGGTATCAATGAGCAATTATAAAGTAAAATGGTAAAAAATGTTCCTCAACATGGGGTAAAATTAAATATGGTGTCCCTCAGGGGTCAATTCTAGGACCTTTATTAATTTTTAATATTTGTAAATGATTTGCCCAAAAACGTTTCTTCTAACCTCATTCAATATGCTGATGACACTACAGCAATAAGGCTAACAATTCTAATAATTTGAAAGTAGAGCTAGATCGTTCACTTCTATTATATATCCAACTGGTTTAATGTGAATGGATTGAAACTTAATAGTTCAAAAATACAAATTTTAAAATTTCAGACCGCTCAAAATAAAAATATTTAAATACATTTGATTTGATTTTTAATGGTGATATTTTATCCTTTGTAAAAAGTACAAAATTTCTTGGCTTACATATTGATGAAAACTTGCATGGAAACCACACATTGATATGCTTACAAAAAAATTAATCACTGCTTGTTTCTAAATTTATGTGTTGCGAAATATAATAGATGCCAAAACTAAAATTATGGCATATCATGCCATGTTTTTCTCTCATTTGCAATATGGTATTGAGCTGTGGGGTTCCACTTCCCACGCAATTAAAATATTTAAAATCCAAAAACGTTTTTTTTTTTATTCTATCTTTTAAATCTAAAAGAACATCATGTAAGCTACTATTTAAAAAATATGAAGTCTTGAAAATGCCTTCACTGTTTATTTTCAAAACTCTAGTAAATTTAAAAAGTAATTTTCACTAATATGTAAATAAGCAGTTTGTTCATCACTACCCCACACGTGCACACTTTGGGCAATAACTCAGTTTATAGTTAATTTTACTTTAATACTATTTTAATTTATAGAATGTTTTCTTTGTTTTATATTAGGTATGCATATTTGACAATGTCACTTGTTCCTCTAGCTGCGCTAGAACCTTGGAATGTGTTCTTGTGTATGTGACAATAAAGTAATATTTATTTATTTAGTCATTGATAAATACCGACCATCTCCTAGAACCTTTGAACTTGAGAGAAAAGAATGCAATAATAATTCCTGTAAATAATTCAACTAACTTTGAAAGTAGAAATGGAACTCACTGGAGTCTACTTGTATATAACAAAGGGTTAAAATGTTATTATTCGTATGATTCAATTCCACAACATAACATTGAGCAAATTGTAATAACTAACTGTAATCTCATTATACTAAGGATCAACTCCAAGATTAAATTAGAATTTATTTTTGGAGTCCTGCGGCACAAAATTAGAGTGATATGGTTTGATCAATAAATAACTTGATTTGTATACTCACTTTGTGTTTCTTTGTGCCGGAGGCTTTTGAGTGCCGCAACTCTTCTTCTGGCACTCATTGACATGGGCTCTAAAAAGAAAAACAGACAAATAAAAATAGTCATTGATAACAAAGGAGTGTTTACGTAGATCAGTAAATATTTATATCAGTAATATACAGAAGAAAAATCAATATTTTGTGTTTCCAAGTCAGAGGTAAATTTTCCTGCTGTGTAATTGTAAAAAACTTGTTTTTTTTTGCCAAAAAACTAGTATTGGGCAAGTGAGGTGATGCACAATAGGCGTTTCATGTGTCATATTTTACTTTCAACCATCACCATAAATTTTATTATGCTTCCTTTTTAGCAAATTTCCCTATAGGGAAGCAGCTATAGGTGGCACAGTAAGACCAGTAGCCAGGATCGAAATACTTTTTAATTTGGCCAAAAAACGATTTGTTCAAATTTATATATATATATGGATCAACATCGGTAATTGATATACTGTAATCGGTTTATATAAAATCTGTACGTTAATGGCGAAATAGCGTGGATCTTTTTCGGCTTTGCAAATTTCCTCGAATGGATCGCAGCGAAATAGATTATCGGTGATATAAATCTATCAAGAAAAAAAGATTTGAGGCCCGCCGTTAGGAATATACGGCCCTGTGCCAAAGTTCTTTGGAGATTTAGCAAAACAAAATACTCACAACGTGGTGTGGACTAAAATGATTGCCCACGTCAGGATTTGGGTACTGTATTTATACTTTGCGCAAACGCCAAATAGCCTGTATGACCGCGTACAAGGTCTACAAATATTTTAAAATAGCTACTTTGTTCAGAATTTTATGAGGAATCAAAAAATATAATAATATAAGGAAGTATATTTGCAAATAAATAAGTTGTGGGCAAAAAACAGATTTCGGTACATAGCGTTTAGCTAAGAATGCATAGCCTAACCATAGCTAGGAATCTGGCTGATAATTTACATCAATATCACTACCTACTTCTTCAGGATCATCAACCAGCCCTTCAAAATCACTTAAATCTTCTTATAATGCGCCACGTATATCACTACTTTTGATTTTTAACACTAAAACAATGATAAACGTAATAAAACACATCAGTCATCGGTGCGAGGTTAACCAAGCTGTTTACAAATACGCACGTCAGCTGTCTGCTACAATTATGATCGGCTCGAGAAAAAAAAGCGCTTAGAGACAGACCTCGGGAGAAAGCTTAGAATCTGCCAAATAAAACGATACCTAACTCGATCCAGTTCAATCCGATTTTGTCAGTCATAGAGCCTTCGCCGTAAACAGTGTTTGTGAGTCAAAAAATCGACACAAAACACTACACAAAGTGTGTTATGTGTCGATTTTACGACACATAACACCCGGAGGGTTAATTCCATTTAAGTTTTATTTACTTAATTACATCTTTTATTTGTTTATCTATTTTTATTTATTAAACTCCATGTTCATGGCCCCTGGATTACTTTATATGACTATGATATTATGGTACAGTACCTCGTCAAGTAATCCAAATGTTGATTGAGGTTAACAATCTACATTCTTCGCCGTAAATGCTGCATCGTCAGGGTTACAAAACATAAGACATCGATGTCACACCCACACGACATGGATAGGGTTCCCAGAGACCCTCCATCAAAAAAGAGGACAATTATGACTCGAGGAAATTATCTTTGAGGGAGAGGGGTTACATCATTTTTTTAAATTTAGAATCACTTTGCCTATGCATTTTAAGGGCTTTAAAAAATGTGTGACGCTTGCGTCACAGCGGCAACGCATCAGATGGAAATCAGCTGATTGCTGGAGAACTTAGGGAGGGGGTAGGAAGCGCGGAGAGAGAGTAGTTGTGCTCTGGAGTCTAATAGTAAATAATTCAACTAACTTTGAAAGTAGAAATGGAACTCACTGGAGTCTACTTGTATATAACGAAGGGTTAAAATGTTATTGTTCGTATGATTCAATTCCACAACATAACATTGAGCAAATTGTAATAACTAACTGTAATCTCATTATACTAAGGATCAACTCCAAGATTAAATTAGAATTTATTTTTGGAGTCCTGCGGCACAAAATTAATTAGAGTGATATGGTTTGATCAATAAATAACTTGATTTGTATACTCACCTTGTGTTTCTTTGTGCCGGAGGCTTTTGAGTGCCGCAACTCTTCTTCTGGCACTCATTGACATGGGCTCTAAAAAGAAAAACAGACAAATATAAAATAGTCATTGATAACAAAGGAGTGTTTACGTAGATCAGTAAATATTTATATCAGTAATATACAGAAGAAAAATCAATATTTTGTGTTTCCAAGTCAGAGGTAAATTTTCCTGCTGTGTAATTGTAAAAAAACTTGTTTTTTTTTGGCAAAATACTAGTATTGGGCAAGTGAGGTGATGCATAATAGGTGTTTCATGTGTCATATTTTACTTTCAACCATCACCATAAATTTTATTATGCTTCCTTTTTTCTTTCTCGCCCTATACACACAGAGAATATGGAGATAAATATCATGGAGAAAGTATTGTTTTTGTCAACATTTTTGAGTTTGAGTTTTGAGTGGAAATATCCGATTTGGGTCCACCTGGAACCAAAAAAATGGTTTTCAAAGTGATGTCTGTGTGTGTGGTGTGTGTCTATATGTCTGGATGTGTAGGTACAGAGCTAGGGACTACACGTGTGGTCCGATTTCAATGAAATTCGGAGTGTAGCTTCTAATCCATGGTATCTCCAGAATTTTTATCATTTTTTAAATTTAGATTTTTAATGTTTATTTTCCCTATAAAAACCCATAAAATTAAGGAAAAATTGGATTTTCTAGAAAATGGCCTGAACGGTTTTGATAAAAATTTTGTATGTTGTAGCCCTTTAAAATCTGAACAAAATTGTACGACTCCCATTTCTATAAAAATTACGGTTCAAAAGTTATTATAAATTATGTTATTTTCCCGTAAAAACCCCATAAAATAATAGGATTTTAGACAAAAAGCCGGTTTTGAATTAACTTAGTAGGCCTATGTTATGGTCCTTAAAGTTTTTTTCATTTTTTGGAAATTTTTATTTTTAATGGGGATTTTCCCATAAAACCCTATAAAATAAGGGAAAAATCTGATTTTCTTGAAAATGGCGGGAACAAAAAAAAAAAAATTAGTATGCTATAGTACTTTAAATTCTGAACAAAATGGTTCAATTCCCATTGCTGTAACAATTACGGTTCAAAAGTTATTGCAGCTTTGGTGAGTTTTAACTATAAAATATCATATTTACTCTCACCGCTTACCCATGATAAAGGTTGTTGACAAGCTTATGGAAGAAAGTATGTGTCAGAATGCTGATACCGTTTATTTTAGTATTGTGGCCAAAGTTTTTGATGGATTTTGCATGCCACTTTATTGAATATTTATTCCTGGGGAATCATCCATTTTGTAGTAATATCTAAACTCATTAGAAATATAAGTATTTATTCATGTGGTTTAATATTACATATTTTGGTAAACAAATATAAGCGTCTGTTTGGATGTAGATTGGTTGGCGATAGAAGAAAAAGTAACTTACAAAAGCCAATTTTTTTTTTATTTTTATGTCTATTGTATTAAATTTGCTATAATCTTTCACCCATGTATAAAATGTGTGTATATACAGTATATATATATATATATATGCAAGTGCAATATCTCTATGCATGTGTAATAAATATATGCATATGTAATATACAGGGTGATCAACTCAAGGAGGCCACCATTGGGATATCGGAAACGGTAAGAATTAGAGACAACTTTAAATGGGGGACATTCCTTTATTTTTTGTAGCAGTTAAAAATATGATTTTATTTCTTCAAAATTCAGCCGCCATTTTCCAAAATGGCGGCCAACTTTGAAATTTCTTATGGAACACCTTATATTTTATCATGGTTTCAAATAGAACATGCAATTTAAAGACTTTTTTATTCTTGACATTTTTTTTGATAAACTCACTCGTTTAGGAGTTACAGCCTATGGAAAAATGACTTCCGGTGTACATTTTACATCATGTAGCTCCTAACCAAGTAAGTTTATAGCAAAAATGCGAAGAGTAAATAAGTCAAATAAGTCTTAAAATCAGCAGTCAAAATTGGACATCCAATATAGCTCAGCGCTGTCGCACGACGTCCAAGCTCCTTCATGATGACCGGTTACGATGACCGGCTACTTGCCAAACAGTGTTCTCTCGTATAAAATTCTTATGGAACGTTTATAAGTTATATATACATGGGTATATGTTCTTGTTCAGAAATATATATCCTATGAATATTTGAACCATTAATTAAAACATCATAAAGTAAAAAAAAAAAACATAAAAAGAAAAATAAACAAGGCAACAGTTGGAAAACTATAAGGTTTACATGGAAAACAATTTTTTATACCCTCATTTTAATTTTTACTAGTATAAAGAATAGAATGCCTTTTTCGAACTGTTTTTTAGGCTTCAATTAAATGTTCTTATGTCGCAAATATGTTTATTAATAGTATTCACTTAACATTTGACTTAATTTTATATCAATAAATTTTGTATTTGTGTTTTGCTACACCACTTATTAAATTGCAACCAATGAGAATATCATATAAATAAGTTGTACACAGGGTTCTTTTATTTCCCCAACTCTAAAATACAACGCACATGAATTGAAAATGTTATAGGTTTAATAGTACTGTAGGGAATCGAATATCAATAAAGTTAACGTATAACAATAAATTTACATATTCCTAGATTATAATTGAATGTGTTTACGAAGGAACACCACAACCTCAAAATTCAGCATTACAGTATATTTGCTCAAGATTTATTGTTTTCATATAACACAGTTGATGTTGCCAACTAGCGTGGGAGCGGAGGTCCTGATAAAAGCTGGTTCTCGGAAAAGTAATAAACTTGTAGTTTGAATGAAACATTTTTTTTTTATTTTGTACAGGATTCATGGGATCCTCAGCATCAAGTACAAACTGCAAAATGTGTGTCGAAGGTCTGATTAGACCTTCCGAGATTTAGACCTTCAGCAACTCATCCGTTTTTACCTTCCTTTAATTTATTCTTTTTCATGTTGTGCTTCATGTAACATACATAGACTAGTGCTGTATACTAGGCAAAAGTACTAGTGCATGTATGTTTGTAGGGCTCATGCCCTTGACAAATAAATTAAAATTTTCGCCCAAATACAAATCAATATCATCATTAGACAAGAATTAAAAAATAAAATTTATGAACAAAACCTACCACGGCATATTCTTGAACAAGTACGCCTACAAACCTACGATAAGCATGTTTGTTATTATTATACTTAACCTACAAATGCTATGACTTAGGGCATACCTGCTTTCCAAGATAAAACATGCGAACTAATTGCGAGTGTGACGTGAACTTAGAAAAAGACTAGTAAAAATTTACAACTGTGAATTTCTCAGAACTGATTGACAGTTCAGATGAACCTATGGCCACAGACTACAGAAACCTACAGTATTATTGTATTAGTATACTGTATTTGTATTATTGTGTTACTAGCAGAGTACCCGTCCTTCGTACGGGGTTGGCATATAAGTATAAATGCTTATTGCAGTTATGGGAGAGGACACGATTTAAAAAAAAACTGGTCTTTTAATTTATACGGTATCCTATTGTGTAGCACACATCTACCATAGTCCTGATGTTCTACCACTGCACCTAAACCATGGAAAAAAGTAAAGTTCTCATTGTGTACCACAACTTTTTTTGCTAGTTGGTTCAAATTAGCTGTGGTCATTAATGCAAACAAACAACATAATAGTGCTGCACCCTGTTTGGCAAGCCTTATAACATCATAGAACCAACTTGTACAGTTGAAACGGCTGACAAAATTCTTTAATTTCTTTAAATATGAATACTCATATTTGCTTTTCCTGAGTGTTTTATAGTACGTGGCAGTACAGTATTATTAGTTTATTAGTTGCTTGTTGCACTGTTCTACACACTGCTCAAGCGCTACAACTCATTAAGTGGCATCCTGTCCACACACTGTTGATATATACTGAATTGTGGCATGGTGCCACTATTAAGAGTGTAGACTGGCGCGAGAATTGGCAACGTAGCATTAAAGAAGTTATAGTTCCGGCGGACGGCGCGAGGCGCGCTAGCTACCTGTATGGTTTCGTGTTCCACAATTCGGCGTGTACCTACGCTACTTAAACTCACATCAACGAGTTCAAAAATACTCAAATATGGCATGTGATGTTTAAACGACGTAATAATGCTGGAAAACCTCAAAAATGATTGAATTAGCTGTGGCACCCTGAAAAAGGTGCCACAATTTTTGAAGGTGCCACAGTACGGGCGTGTGCCTGTGAAGGATGCCACTATTCGGTGAATACAGACACACACACACACACACACACACAGACACCACCTCTTCTTTATAATAGTAATAATGATAGATAGATAGATTATAGTATTATATATTGTCTGTGCTATGGCTAAAATTCGTTTTTATTACTGCATCAGCTGGAGACACTCTCTGAATATCTGCTTCAACCATTTGCTGTCAAACATTGATCTCGTTATATAGTGAAATTATTTTTCGTATGCACTAATAGAGCAAGGTTTGTACTAAAAGAAAACCTTCTTTTAGTTTAAAAATACATGTTTCACAGGAATCATTTTTAACCATTGTAGTAAAGTAACATCATTATAGCTTAAAAAGTTGATAAGTGATAGTTTACATAATATTTAGCACATTTGACGGATAAACCTTTTTTGAATTCGTCATATTATAAGTGTATGAAAATTCGTTGATATCTGTGTATCAATATCTACTTATCTCATTTCTGTTCAATGGAAGTTATACAATTTCAATGATACCGGTACTTAAATGGGAAGTCTTACAGCTGTTATAAAACTGTGCATACATTTTATCTTGCGAGTAAATTTGCTACCAATTGATATAGTATGACAATTCTATTCTTCTGCAGTACTTAGAATTCTACCACTACTCACATTAAGGCCCGGTTTCCCCAACTCATTTAAACTTAGTTTTAAGTTAAACAGCGATTTAAACTTAGTTTTACTTTGATTTTGCTAAGTTCAAACTAAACCACCTCTCGACTTGGTTTAACTACTGGGGATAAAATACACTGAGTTCAAATTAGTAAATTACAACAGTAACATAACCTCAAATCAAAACAAAAAGTAGGGTTTAAAACAATAATAATTGAAGCAACTACAAATTCATTTGGACGAAAATAGGCTTGGTTTAGGGCTAGCTTTTAAGTAAAGTTTTATTTATATTTTAATTTATTGTTTTTATTAAGTTATTTTTTTGTACATTTTATTTTATTTCAAGTTAGGCCACTATTAATTGCAGTATTTGTCCCTTAACTCCAACGGATGAGTTAATAGACATTTTCGAAGAAGTAGAAGATTAACATTAAACACTTTAGTACCTAGAACAAGAGGGCCTACCAAAATAAGGGACAGAATTGACCATTTCAATAAATGGAATGAATCTGAATTTGACAACAACTTATAATAACTTGATAACATAACCTTAAACAGCGATGTTATTCTAGCTGCATTCGCACTGCTGTCTGCTCTACTGAGTTGTTTTTGTTTGTAGCGTAGCGTTGTGGTGGTTGTAGGAAACACTAGCCCAAAGCACAGAAATTGTACTACTATGTACGTTTTCTGTGCCCAAAGCCCACCGAAGATTCCTTACAAATATACATTCAGGATTGCCAACCGCTCGAATTGCCGTTTATCTTAAACGAAGCCAGTAAAATGTTGGAGAAACCGAACACACATTTTAAACGGAGTTTAAAAATAAACTAGTTTATTATAAACGTAGTTTACACCATTTTGGGGAAACCTACCATATTTACTTTAGGACTAGTGATTAACTTATTGTATTAATCATACAATATAGTGAATAGTGTAGTCATTTATTTATTTCGTTTTTATGACATAGCTCTATTTAGTAGAAATCAATTATGCAATTATAACAACAGAAATACTGCATCATTACATTTTACGGTGACATAGTATTTATTTTACATATAAAAAATTTAAGCTAATGCAATAATTAGTTCAACCAGACCCATTGAATATTGAATAATTTAAACATTAATCGAAGACGAAGCGGTTGACAACTTTCAAACAGTTGACTAGGCCTAGTTGCCTTCAATAATTGCAATGCGAACTGTATGCACTGAGGTCCGCAAACAGTGTTCACAGTGTGCAGGCACTTTGGACGTCGTGGCACTTGGACGTCGTGCAACTGGCAGAGGCTTTGGACGTGGTGCAAATGATACTTCTTTCCAATTCTACAGTGTGCTGTTTCACGACGTCCAAGTGCCACGACGTCCAAAGCTTGTAGAAAGGCTATATTTTTGGCAGTAACTGTACTTTTGGACGTCGTGGCACTTGGACGTCGTGCAACAACTCAAAAATTATGTTTTGGACGTCGTGGCACTTGGACGTCGTGCAACACTCCCCAAAAGAGTACAATGCTTTGCCACCCACCTTAAAAGAGTACAGTTATAATAGGTTTAAGAAATGTGTAGAAGAAATGTTTACCTAAATGTTACTGTATAGGCCTAGATACTTTTATTTTTGATTTTATGAATAGATTATTGAATTGTTTTATTTTCTTAATTTGACAAAAGTTGTCATGAAAAACATCAAAAGTACAAACTCTGTTTTTCACCGTTCACCCCAATATTTTTAATATTTTTATCTGTGAACGAGGCGACGATCGGCTCATCTCTTACCCCCACCATGGATTTCCCCGCTTTAGACCGTTCCTGCTGAAAATCTCAGGCTTCACCTCGTTCTGCACGACCTCTAACCATGTTAACATACACAAGACCTATAATAGAAAAAGTAATAAAGTTGTTCCGACTGTAAATTTCAAAATGGTGGCCATTTAAATAATAAATAAATAAATAAGGTCTTTATTTGCAAGCGGTCATCAAAAGTACAAACTCTGAATGCTTGCAAATAAAGACCTTATTTATTTATTTACTATTTAAATGGCCGCCATTTTGAAATTTACAGTCGGAACAACTTTATTATTTTTTCTATTATAGGTCTTGTGTATGTTAACATGGTTACCAAATTTCATAATCATCGCATGAAAAACTTCACAGATAAAAATATTTTTGTATAAAAAACAAAATGGTGGATAACTGGGTAGATATGCATTTTCGAATATACCATCTTTTTCTTCCTTTTAGTATGAGGATTCAGTCCCCCTACCTAAGGACCCTGTAAAATAAAACTTTCAGAGCTAATGAAATGAAATAAATAGGCTAGTTTTGGACCTACTGAAATCAGACCCTGTGAAATGCTCCTATTGACATTCCTCGGTTTTGAAACAGTATTTACTGGTAGCCTATCACTAGCAGTAGCTTACAAGACGTTCTGCTAATTTATTCCTTAGCCTACAAGATTTATTGCTAAAAAGTCTTGGCAATTTTTTTTTTAAGTTTGAGTAAGCTGTGAGTTTAAGCGTTCAGAGTTTTTTTATAACTGAACCAAGGTTATTGAATTGAAAATAACATGATCGAGCAATGTGCAATATTGAATTTTTTATGAAAAATGCAAATTATACACTTTACTAAGGCAATGCTTTTACTATATTTTTACCATTTTGGATACACCATGGTTAAAGTTATCCGTGGTATATGTCCCCTCAATTACCCCTGAGTGACATATTCCCATAATATACTGTACTTTCGGGTTTAGATGTTAGATAGTCTAGAAAAGAAAGTTTACTTACCAGCTAATTCTGGATTAGATACAGGACTACTTTTGTCGCTTGTTGCCATTTTGCATAGGTCTGGAACATATAGACAAAGTCATTACAAAAGTGCCAATAAACAGGCCACTGTGTTACGCCTAAACTCCGAATTTGGATAATGTCCAACATTTTTTCCCACTTCGCAATGTGGACATTGTTAAATACTCATTTCGCGAAGTGGGCATTTTATTCGGACATTGACCAAGTGAAACGCCCAGAACACATTGTTGGTTACAAACTGATTTACTCAAATGCCGAAGCAGGGCTGTATTTAGAATCTATGAGGCCCCCGGCGGCTCTCACCAGAGAAGCCCCTCTATACAGTATTCTGATTCTTTGTAGGTTGGAACTTAACGGTTTAGAAATACACATGGTATTGCTTCAACTCGATGAATTGATCTTTTGTTTTCAACAATCTGATCGGTAAAAGATCCTTGGAGACTAGCTAAAAAATAAGTTTATTATTTTTTTTAATAATAATATTTAGGGGTCTTAGGTTGGGGGCAGACATTTTTCACTTCTTTCAGTTTGAGTAAAAAGTGTTGAACTTCAGGCATTGGATCAACATCGGCTAGTTTTGGAAATATTTTATTTAAAATTCCGGTAATTGAACGAAATGAAATGATAAATTCTTTATTTTACCAGGCAAAGTTAGGGCCACGTGGCCCTCTCTTTCACTTAACCTGACAAACTTAAAATATAAATCAATAAAAATAAAATGAGATTTCTTAATCTAAATATAAATCTATATATTTAACAAATCAAGAACAGGTGAAACAAAAATGCAATTTTACAAAATGATATACTTAAATTGTTTTATATAAAATCTGTGATCGCGGCCAAATATAAGCGTCTTCTGCAGCCATAGTATAATCATGGACATCTACAGCGGTCGTGGAGGGATCGTAAACATCACAGAAAAATAGTAAATATGCGCGATCGAGGAGACATAATCATTGTCTCCTCTGATCAGGGTGAAATCATAAACGTCTCTTATGGCCTTGGAGGAATGGTAAACATGTCTCGCGATCATGGAGACAACATCTTCGTCTTCTGCGAACCCGGCGAAATCATGAACGCCTGCTATGGCCGCAGAGAAATGGTTAACATAAGTTATTGAGCAAGCGCAGACACATCATCTTCGTTTCCTTCAACCATGACAAAATTGTGAAGATCTTCAAAGTCTACAGCGACAAGATCTTCGACTCCCATGGTCGCAATGAAATCCTGGACATCTTCTCCGATTGCGGATGAGTATTGACAACTAACTTCTACGTTAATGGCGAAATAGTGTAGATCTTTTTCGGCCACGCAAATTCCCTCAAATGGATCGCAGCGAAATAGATTATCGGTGAAATAAATCTATCAAGAAAAAAAGATTTGCGGCAACCGCCGTTAGGGAAATACGGCCCTGTGCCAAAGATCCAAAGTTCTTTGGAGATTTAGCAAAACAAAATACCAACAACGTGGTGTGGACTAAAGTGATTGCCCACGTCGGGATTTGGGTATTCATACTTTGCGCAAACACCAAATAGCCTGTATGACCGCGTACTATTCTAGATTAAGTCTTAATATGGAGATAAAAAAATAAAATTTGCCTATGAAATTGTATTTATAAAAAAATATATACAGGGTGAGTCTTCTAAGCTGTCCTCAACAGATTACAGACGAACAGCTTGACATTCAGAGATGAAACAAAACTTTTCTCCACGAATTCATACCCAAGGAACGACTTTAAAATATGTTTAGGCCTACCATTTTTTAAATACAGGTTGTTCAAGAAACTGGGGGTCATGGTTTCAAATCTCAGTGTTTTCCAATGTATATTGTATATATCAAGTTTTGCACCATTTTAAAGCTCTAGACTAGACAAACAATTTAGTGAAAACCAAACTCCTTTATCTTTATCCGTTTCAAAATGGCAGTCATTTTTATGGAAAATATTGATATTTACAGAATACTCTTTGGAAACCACTAAACTTATTTTTGTTCTGTTTGAAAATTCTCAATCCTCGTGATTTCAGCTTAATTTTATAAACTACATGTCAGCATTTTAAAAAACTAAATATTTTTTCCATGATTATATTTTTTTTTATGTTGGTAGCCTTGTAAATATTTTTTTTTAATAGCAACATATCAAATAGTGAATCATTTTGAAGGTCTTGCAAAAACAAACAACTTTTTAAGTTAAACCCACCTCCTATCTTTAGTAGTTTTCTAGTAATTAACCAAAAACTCCAATTGTCCGTATAACCAATATAAAACCCATGAGACAACAATATGGTTCTCTCATCCAATCTCTCTAGTAATTAGATGATAACCTCCTTCAATGATATGTTTTAAATTTCACGATCTGCGCTTGTGCATGCACCCCATTAGCTGTTACTGTATGTGAAAGATAGTCAACCATTTAAAGCACTGTCTGGAAATAAATCAAATGCTTAGTGGTCAAACTTTTGAAGCCCTTTATCAAAATATCCTTTTTAATATTTTGACCTCTTATTCTTAACTGATGTTATAATAAACAAATGTTAAATGTTAAATAAATGTCATGTTTAATGCTATTTATATAAGCTATAGAACAATAGGCTACAATGCAGACATGAAAGGGGTAGATAGGAATGATCAAATGCTTTCCTACTACCCCAGTGATCTTAAGTCTTTGCGATGGTACAAGAAAATTTTTATCCACCTAATTCAAATTGGTAATGGTCAACGTGCAAAACTTTAAAATATTGCAAATTAAGACAACACTTTGCAGCTGTACGACTTTCATCTCAGTGTTATCGAAGTGCTGTTGCCCCTGCGAGCCTAATATAAAACCGGCCTTCATCGTAGCTCTCTCCAAGTTCTGTCCAAGATGACGAAACTGAACAAAAAAGGACGCCTCCTAGGAAAAAGATGTCGTCAGTGCCTAAGAGAGGGACGATACATGGAAACCGTGTTTATGCGTGCCCAGTGTTAAGGGGAGCCTTTATTGTGCGCATTGGCTTGTTTTGACAAGTAACCGTAGACTTGCAGTAAAGTCTAGATAGTACTGGTAGAGTGGGAGGGGATGTACATATTGTAAATAGGTATTCATCTATGTCTTTTTCTACCAATTTAGTGAAAACCCTAATGTTATTGCTTTATAAATCAAACTAAACCAATGAAAACACAAAGTGACTTATCGCCAAAACTTCTGGTGGAGCACGGGAATTCCCGCACAATGTGACGTCACTGTTTTGGGGCTGCTGAGTGCCACCACCCCACTAATATCATGCTAGGACATTCCAACATTCTATGACAAAAGGTAAGTGTTTACCGAAGTCATAGTGTAGCTATTTTCGTTACCCCTTGCCCAATGCTGAGCTGTGCTTTCCCACAAAGTACTGTATTATGACGTCTTTAAAACACGTGTTCGCTATGGAAACCAATTTTGATAGTAATTTTTTACATTCCTAATATATAATCTTTAAAAATATCCATCAAGTACAGTAGGCCTACTTTCAGCACTCGGGTAAATTTTTCCATACCTATTTAAATATCTTAGTGGTCAGTGTGCCCAGCATAACTCGTGCTACCAATTAATAATGTATAAAATTCTTTGAATAAGTTACATAGCAGAACATCAGTTTGGTTTTGGTAAGTAATTGATCACCACAAACATTGGAATAGTATATTACATTACTAGCCCGGTAAGTGGTGTTTTACCGTGCGAGCACGACAGTAGGGCCTACCCACGCTAGGCGTAGCTAAGTGCGAGTACGTTTAAGCTTACCGGGCACACAAAATAATTAGTACATTTTAAACGCATAACACAATTTAATTAGGACATAGGCTAACATAAATTATAATATTTTTATATTAGGCCTACAGAAAATAAAATAGGTTGTTGCAGTTAGCTGTTTATTTCATCAACTGACTAAGTGGAAGTTTTACCGTGCACTGCACGGTAGGCCTACTTACTTACTTTCTGTGTCCGGAAATCAGACTTCGCTTTTCCAAAAATTAGCTACCGATATGGCTTTGTCATTTGCTTGTAAAAGATCATCTAATGTGCAAGACTGGTCTAGGCGTGGACAGATCAGCAGATGGCCAGGATCCTGAACAGCACCACACACGCACAAGATGTTTTCTTCGTCGGGTAAGAGACCCCATTTCTGCATGTTTGTCTTGCATTTTGGTACCTCGACCCTGATTCGATTTAGGGTCTTCCACGGACTGCACGGTAAGTTAATAGTATATGTCATTACTAGTAAAGAAAGTGACCCATTTCGGGGGAGATAGTGTTTTATGTTCAAGTTGAAGGTGAGTATGGGAAACACTATGGAGCCCCGAAATGTGACTTTCGTGACAAGTAGGCCTATTGAATTATACTTTTCATCACGATGAAAAAAACTACTTCATCAAACTTAAAAAATTATTTGATATTTCGTAATTGGTAACTTCAGTTGTAACTTTGTTGATGTCAGGCAAAGTATTGTTTGTGTAGTGAAAGCAATTGAAATTATCTTGCGACTAGGTTGAGCAAGAGTACCGTAGTAATTTATAAATCGTTAGAAACTAGATTTTTACCTGAAAACAATGGTGCAAAGATTTTTCTGCTGTCACAGAATCCTAAATAAACTACAATTTAGTTTTAATTTTATTACTGTAATGCCTCTTGTCTGCTGGTCTCTGTCCCCATTACTGTGAATTGACTAAAACAAACATGAAACGATTGAAAGGATCGTCTAGGGAAGAAGAAGAAACCTAAGATTACAAACATCAAGTTTATACAAAGAGGACAAAGAGGTAGAGGCATTTGTAAATTCAACTGAGTGTTGATTATGAACTAGGCTACTTCAGTAGCCTAATTATTTAGACAGGTGAGGTAGGTAGGTGTTAAGCGGATTCGTGACTGTATTGAGTGTTTTGAAGTTAGGTTAGATTAGGAAGGTAAAGTTTAGGTTAGCCTATAATGAATTGAGTTGGTAATTTATGTTATCTCCAGACTGTTTTTGCACTCTGTAAAATGTGCAAAAAACACAATAAACAATAATTTTAAAAATACGCAGCATTATGGAAATTGTTATTTAAGTTATCATATTTTTAGCACATTTTAAAAAGTGCAAAAACAGTCTGGAGTTTAATGTATGTTATGATGCGCATTTATGAAATTATTGTTTAACTTATCGTGTAGCCTATTCATCACTTTTTTACAAAGTGCAAAAACAATCTGGAAATGACATAAATCAACAACTCCATTATAACCTAAACTTTAACTTCCCTAATCTAACCTACCTTCAAAGGACTTAATACAGTCACAAATCCATAAAACAACCAACCTACTTAGGCCTACCTCTCTTTTTCAACTTATAAAACAAATTTTAAACTGTGATGAAAAGTACATAACTTAACGTTACTTTTCCGTGTTTAGGCACGGTAGGCCTAAAGGGAAACTTTCCAGTCTAATTATATGGATGGAAATGTATCCGTTTCTGTGTAGACTGGGATAGGTGGCGTCATCCTGTAATCCAGTGACTAGGAGGTCACGAATTGTGGATATTTGTAGGCATGCACTGTGGATGCGATACCATAGACTAAGCAACACAAGTAGACTCCTCATCCCATTGTAAATTTTGAAGCTTCCACACTGATCGCTGGGGTAGACCACATTTTGTTTATATTATTTTAGGGTTATTTTATGATTTGTGCTTTACTGTTTGGTTATATAACTAGAAGACCAGTTATTCTTTATGATTAAATCGTTTTATATGATTAAATGAGGTTTTAAATGACTGAAATATCAAGAAACAAATTGTAAACAAAACATAACCTCTACAGTTGGACGTACAGAACAAACAATAAAATTGGCTTCAGCTGTTCCATAAGGATGACAAATCTACTAAGGGCGTATGATTTATCTATGGCGATACTCCCTGGTGTGGATTAATGTCCTGGATTAATGTCCGCACAAGTGAGTACTACGACAATCCGCACTACTATCCTGATAATTAGACCAATTCGTACATACCAAGGAAAAATGTGGTTCGGATTCCACTATAAACTGTAGGTCCCTTAGTTGCCATTAGCTGTATGGGCTATTAAGCCTAATTAACAGCTGTGTCTAAGGAATGTCGGCCTTAGTCACTAACAAGACTACAAGATCGCGCCATTCATCCTACACTCATCTCCATTCACTTGGCTTAAAATACCTACTGTGTATAGTCGCCATTTCATTGAACAGTATTAACAGTAGTGTGATGTAAAAAAAAGCAATATGGTAGCTACAATTGACAAATGTAAGTTCGGCCTACTAGCCTAGCAGTTAGGCTATTAGGCTTGGCTAACATTAATTGCCAATGCCAATTCTCTAAAAGCCTGTACGTAAAAAATAACCAAAAATAAATAGCCTATCAATACATTACTTACCTAAAAGCCTAGTAATGTCTTATTTATAACAATAGCCGAACAAGCAGCAATTAAACATAAACTTTTGCCGGCTAAACCAAGCACAATTTAAACATAATGCCGGCTCAGCTAAACGATAAAAAGCAACATCAACATCATAATAACATCATCCATTAGCAAGCCAAGCAATAAGCAAACGCAAAGCATTCGTTTCGTATTTTGTCAAGCAAAGAAGAAGAAGCAAAGCAGCTACAAGACCGTTCATGAAGGACCACAACCCCCCGCCACGGCGCCCGGGACAGCAGAATTATTGGTATCGAAACGGAACACGGAACATCCGAACTGAGGTCCGTGAAGTTGGCGTATCCACTTTTGATCATACCAATCGTTAGTTCATCGTTAGTTCTCGATAGTTCCCAATATTTACGTTATTTCTCAAAAAATAAAAAAAGTTACGAGGCATACAACGTGGTTACGCTAACTTCACAACTACACAATTTCCAGCGGGCACAGTTTTTTGAATATGAATGCTTATATCTATATACCAATCGTTAGTTCTTCGTTAGTTCTCGATAGTTCTCCAATATTTAAGTTAGTTCTCAAAAAATAAAAAATTTACGAGGCATACAAAGTGCTGACTTCACAATTATAACATTTCCAGCGGGCACCGTTTTCTGACTAAAAAAGCTTATATCTATATACTACCTAATCGTTAGTTCTTCGTTATTTCTTGTTGGTTCCCCAATATTATTGCTAGTTATTGAAAAATAAAAAGGCAATAAGGTCTTAAGCGTTGTTATGCCAACTTCACACCCAAAGCATTTCTAGCGTGCACCTTTGTATAACTAAATGTGCCTATATCTTAATATTAATCGTAAGTTTTATTCTGTTAGTTCTAAAAACATTTAAAAGTTGCAGCTGATGAGTTGAATCAGAATGAGGACACTAATTTCACACTTACAGAAATTCTAGCGTGCAACTGCATCTGACGAAAAGTTCTTTTTATTATTATTTTTGTATTTGCTATGCTGTTATTGTTATGTTTACTATATGGAGAGTTTGTTATGAATTTATATATTGAAATTTCATATTACTACATTAGAGCGATTTTCAAGTTTTCCTAAGCCGTGTCAAACGCCATTTCAAGTTCTTCCGTCAACAAAATAAGCTGTCTCCAGACATGCGCCACTCCCAAAGCACGACATATTTGCCGTTCGGTGATCTAGTTGTCTTCTTATTCGCCGATTAACGAGTAAAACGTCTGCACACATGTGTTGTTTTCCCAGCAACTGTTCGTTTCGGGAATGGCAAAAAAATCGTTCACTTTGGTGTGTGCAAAAATACTGGCAATGAACGGAAAACACGAGCACGAGCATTTGCTGTCATACTACTCGCGATTCGGCGAGTCGCTGTTCTGTACTTGGCGTAGGTACAGTCTGAAGCCGGCTATAGGCATCTTGAATAAAACCCCCTTTATGCAAATCATTAAACTAAATTTTAATTAATTATTTATTACTAGCAGAGTACCCGTACTTCATACGGGGTTGGAATATAATATAAAATGCTTATTTCAGTTATACGCAAGCTTTGCATTTGCAATTAGGGAGGACACAGTTTGATAAAATTTGTTTTTTTTTTAATTTACAGTATTCTATAGTATTTTACATCACCATAACCATAATGTTCTACCACTTCATCTAAACAATAGAGAAAAATAAATTATCAACAATTCGCAAAATATCACAAATTATTCATGACATGAAAAACATAAACATAACTGTAAACAATCCTACTTTGACAGTTCTCATTGCGAATCACAGTTTTTTGTTGCTGCTTAGTTCAAATTAGCTGTTTTCATAAATGCAAAAAAATATATAGTGCTGCACCCTGTTGGTAAATCTTATAACTTTTTAATGCTTTTCCATATCATAGAACCAACTTTTTTAGTTGAAATACGGCTGACTAAATTCTTACATTCCCTTTAAATATGAATACTCATAAGGTTAACATGGGGAATTACAGAGCCACTGGGGCGGAGCCCGAAAGGATTTTTGAGATAAGAATATGCCTATATGTTAATCGGGAATGTAAGCTATCATCATGCCAAATTTCAGCCCAATCCGTCCAGTGGTTTATGCGTGATTGAACTTCAAACACACAAACAAACAAACAAACACACAAACTTTCACATTTATAATATTAGTAAGATAACTTATTTATCATAAGTTAAAAATACGTATTCTCGGTGTATATTAATCTAACTCATTTAATTTTGAACGTATTTCTAAACTGTTTAATAACGACGCTGTGAATGTTTGAAAGAATAGTTGAGTGTACGTTTTTTAGAACTATCGAGAACTAACGAAGAACTAACGCTTGGTATTTAGTTATAGGCATTTATAGTCAGAAAACGGTATTCACTGGAAATTCTATAGTTGTGAAGTTAGAGTGCCCACTTTGTATTCCTTATAAACTTTTTGATTTTCGAGATCTAAAAACAATATTAGAGAACTATCGTGAACTAACTAAGAACTAACGATTGGTATATGGATACTGTATAAGCATTTTTATTCAGAAAACTGTGCCCGATTGAAATTCTATAATTGTGAAGTTGGCGTACCCACTTTGTATACCTCGTAACTTTTTTATTTTTTGAGAACTAACGTAAATATTGGAGAACTATCGAAAACTAACGAAGAACTAACGATTGGTGAATAGATATAAGCATTTATAGTCAGAAAACGGTGCCCGCTGGAAATTGTATAATTTTGAAGTTAGCGTACCCACTTTGTATGCCTCGTAACTTTTTTATTTTTTAGAACTAACGAAAAAATTTGGGAACTATAGAGAACTAACAAGGAACTAACGATTGGTATATAGATATAAGCATTTATAGTCAGAAAACGGTGCCCGCTGGAAATTGTATAATTGTGAAGTTAGCGTACCCACTTTGTACCCTATGCCTCGTAACTTTTTTTATTTTTTGAGAACCAACGTAAATATTTGAGAACTATCGAGAACTAACGAAGAACTAACGATTGGTATATATATATAAGCATTTATAGTCAGAAAACTGTGCCCGCTGGAAATTCTATAGTGAATTTAGCGTACCCACTTTGTATGCCTCGTTACTTTTTTTATTTTTTGAGAACTAACGAAAATATTTGGGAACTATTGAGAACTAACGATGAACCACTCTTTCTGACTTTGTCAGTCTAGCATTTTTTTTGTCTTTTTCCAGTCCCACATACTCTACGGCACTACGCTGTGGGGTCACTCACCAAGGGTGTATAAAATTCTTCTGTTGCAAAAGAGAGTGCTGAGGGTGCTGTGTGGATCTCATAATCTTGCACACTGCAGGCCTCTAAGAATAAGAATACGTTTATTGTCCTTCAGGCTACATATTTAAAGGCTATTTAAGGCTTTTTAGATTCTGACTGTATACAAGGCTGACTGTATATTTCAGTGTCTTGTAGCGATTGAATCAAATGAGCATGTTTATAATTATAATCTAAACTCAGAAGTGCTGCACTACTTCTTGCACAACTATTCCATTATAAACTGTGGCAATTTGCGTTTGCGTGTATCTAGATGCAGGCTTGACAAAGTACTAAAATATTTTCCTGTTGCAGGTATCAGATTTTATAATAGTATACCAATTCAGGTAACACGGCTGCCAAGTCAAAAATTTTCCAAAATCATTATAAAAAAAACTGGCTTCTAGAAAACCCTTTCTATAGCCTAAGTGAGTATAATGAAGCAGATTTCTCACCAATGATGATTGGACTTGAATAAAGTGAATAATAATAATACCGGATAGAACTAACAACAAACTTAGCTTCAGCTGTTCCATAAGGATGGGAAATCTACTAAGGGACTATGTTTTATCTATGATAAATCGTAGACTCCCACCTCCCACCTAAAATCATTTAAACCATTTAATCAACATTAGTGTACTCAAATGTTTCACCAACGTAAACCACTTATAAAACAGATGTCTTCAGATTTTGCAACGGGATGGGGAATCTACTAGCGCTACTCAAAGTCATAACATTATAATCAATAATAAATAAATTAATTTGTATGATACTATTTGCTTTCTAATGCTGTACCTCTTTGGTTAATGCTAAGCTTTTCCTGCCTCTATGCTTTAGAGAAGATACACCTACACCTACACCATCAACAACCAACCCAACACCTACTTCTAGTTCTACTTCTCTTTTGTTTATTTTATTGTATACCTACCTAGTTGTAGTTGTCAAGCTCCCTTTCACCAAAGCTAGAATTTTAAGAAGTGCGCTGCAGTGAGAAAACGGATATGTTTTATATTTGAAGATTGATGATATTTTTACAAACCGTAAGTAATTTTCATTATTTAAACCCTTCAGAAATTGCAATTTGTATTTAATTCTCATTGAATATCACTTGCATGGCGGATTTGCACTGCCGTTGAGTCCAATGTTTGACGCTAATTTTTCGCGGTCGAATGTTGTTTGTTTTGTATTGTATACCTTTCACTGACTGAACTTGAATGTTTCAGTTCACACTCTTTATGTTGTTGATAATATTTTCTTATGATATTTCATCAATACAACACCAATTAACTGTCACTGGGGTTAATTTAGCACTAGATATGCTTCGATCAATTGATTAAAGTTTAAATAACTTAGGCTACCAAGTTGCACTAAGGAGCTAAAACCGATCTACAAAATATTGATGGCTTAACTTAAAATAATCATCCTTGAAACTCATTTGAACGAACAATGTGGAAATGGCGTATGTGTAGCTAAACAATGTATTTAACTTAGCTAGATCCAATAGTCAATACTAGTACATAATTTGTTGGCTACAATACTTAACTTATTTAGGATCCAGTAGGCTACCCAGCTTAAAGAATTATGTCTGCTAGCCTCTCCTGACTACATTTGATAATTTTGTATTATACAGAGGCCACTTATTTTACAGCGCACTGCTGCGCTTAGGTTAGGTTGGTTATCATAAATATGTTTATATAACTTATCTTCATGCGTAGGCTTTGCGCCTACTTCATGCAAGCGGCCGTTGCCATTGAAATCCATGGTGATGGTTTTCGGCGTCAACTGCGTCGTCAGTTGTATTTCACTGCCAGACGTTTCGCCCTAACTATGAAGTGGCATCCTCAGTGGAGGGCTAGGCTGAGAGTTGAAGCCGAAAACCATCACCATGGATTTAAATGTTTGTATGACTTTCCTCATTTCGTTATGAATCGAACGATACCAGATGAGTCATAAAAAATTATGATAACCCAACCTACCCTAACCGCTACAGCGCACTGTATATGGGTGGCCTCAGTATATTACGTAAGTACGCAACATTTTGTCAGTAAACACTAAATAGGTAGGCTAGGACAATAAGACATTTTATTGGCCCTTAAGTAAATACAAAATACAATAGGTCTTGTCAATTTTATAATAAGGACATACGGTACCGTTGGGGCCTGCATAAAATAAGAAATTATATGGAAAGTCAGGTAGGCCTACGTACGATAGTGGGTTAGAGACTATTAAATATGAATCATAAATAATTTAAGGACAAAACGAGAACCAATAAAAATTTTGAGAACATAACAGGACACATATAGGCCTACATTCACTTTGTTTAATCCTCATTAATAAAGAGACCATTAACTGTGGACCAATGAACAACCTTTTGAAAATTAGTCTTAGCATCATGAATAACATTATCTGAGTTACTATTACCTGAAACCAAGGAAGTGTCATCCGCATAAACCCAAGAAAAACAATTTATATTAGCTAACATCACATATAATTAAAAATAATAATGGTCCAAGAATTTTTTTTTTAAAGAGGTTGGCGGCCTCTTTTAACCTTGCATTTGCCCGTCCACATAGACTAAGCGCCCGTGCGTGGATCGTTTGCAGCAAAGCAAGGAGTGAGCCGGTACAGTACAAAGGTGAACTGTTCTGATAAAATGTTATCGGTAGTGACCAGGATCCGAACCCACGACATCGCTGCCTTGGGCCCGAAGTCCGCGACGCTACCGACTGAGCCACCGACTCACTAAACCCCTGCAATTGAACCCTGCGGGACTCCTTGTCTAATATCTACAACCCTTGAACGGTCACCATTGACCTCTACCAACTGTGTTCTATTTTTAAGATAAGATTCAAAAAACTTAAGCTCAAAGTCTTTGATACCATAGAATTCCAACTTTTTTAGCAAAACTGGGCGTGAAACACAATCCTTACTCACACGCCTTACTCAGGCCGCACAATGTGACCAGAGCCTGACAGCCGCCCTCCATGGCTGATATCAATTGATTGACTAACCTATCAATTGCCATAACTGTTGATCACCCCTCCCTGAACTCAAATTATCATCAAACAGCTTACTTTGCTCAAAATAACTACATAGTTTATGCTTGATAATTTTCTCTAAGATCTTGGCGAGAATAGGAATACAGGATATTGGACGATAGCTTGCTGCCAAACTAGGTTTACCTTTCTTATAAACAGGTACAAACAGGTTCTTGAAAACTTAAGAACTTTTGGAAAACCCCAAACTAAAATACATAGATTAAAACAGGCCTACTGCTAGGATAGTCAGTAACTTAGATCTCTTCTTTGATGAGTTTATTAACTTTGACTATTCAACTTATTTCCATAATTTGAGGGGTTAACTTAAACCGATTAAGTTACTTAATCTAGATTTCAATCTGTAGCATTACAAGTAGGCGGTTACAAGAGAGCGAAGAATAAACCCTCCTGACAACTCTGTCCCCCGAATCCTCATTGGACTTAATCAAACCCGCTATTAGAATACGGTAGGTACCTTTAAGTTATACCATGCATCCATGGCTGACCAGTTTTTTAAAGACTGGATGAATTTCATCAAAATTTAAAGATAAAAAATTAACTTCAACACTAGAAAACTTTTAAAAAGATTTTTAAACATCTGATTTACAGCTTAGCCTAACTTATTATCATTAGCTAAGTGTTTTTTTTTTAATACACTGTTATTTATATCTAAAAATACTTAAGATAAAGCTAACAAGGATTTGAACTTTTGAGAAACCCGTAAGCCGCACACCTATTCAACCAAATACTTGAATAAGAGGTCTTAAAGTAAAAAACATCCCTGAAAAATATCATTTAAAAAAAAAACTCTCCTAACGACAGGAACCTCAAAAAAAGGGTTGAATTTATTAACATTTAAAATTATGAAGATGCATCTAGCTGTTCGATTTGTTTTTGTTTTAGTTTGTTTATTTACTTTTCCTTGAGTTAACCTTTTGATTATAGGCTACCATAGATTTCTATACTGCATCAAGATAATTACCAGTATGTTTTTCTTAAATGTGAAGATTGATTTACTAGGATTGTATTAAAATAAGCAATTACCGTACTACTTTGTCCAAAGCCACTGGCATCAATAGAGGTATATTGGTGCTATTCATGGGAAAAAGAGCTCAAATGGTCAAGAATTTTTCACGTATTAGAACAGTAATGGTATGGATCATAAACATAAAAAATGACGTCACTAGTTCAAACCACTGATAACATTAACATAATATGTTAAGCATATTGACATATTATGGTTTGGATGTTATTTGACAGTTATTTAAATAACAATACAAACTTTTTGTTTTCAGGCTAGTTGCGTCATTTGTATATGATCAATACAGTTTCTGTTATATATTTGTGTATCATCTTGTTACGTGCGTAATTAATTCTTGGTTTCAGTTTGAACATGTTTAAATATGTATTACCCACAGAACAAGCTAATTATTATGTGTATATGTATAAGTGTTCCATTACTTTTATCTTGCCAACTATAGAATGTTATGACTGTAGACAAGAAAAGACAGCATTTAGTTATAAATGAGCATTTAGTTACCGTAAATGTAAATACAACGGAATCAACCTACGGGGACGGCAGTGTTCTCGTATTAGCACCAACAGGTTGTGCTGCTTCTATTGTTAATGGCCAAATAACAATTCACTCAGCACTAAGATTGAATATACAAAATTTTAATAAACAAAAAATAGTGAAATTTTTAAGTTTTGACTCCTTTCAAGGTTTGATAAAGGTTTCTTGGGTGAGTCCCGTTGTTACACGGATTATGATATACACCCTATTAAATTAGTATTTGTAAAAATAAAGAGTATCTACTTAAAATACAATAACATGTAATAAAAAAATGTAAAAAACATGTAAAATTTATAATTTGATCAGAGATGCTTTTTATAGTCTATTTCAATTAAGAAAAAATTTTCATTTGTACAGCAGCAGGCTGTTTGGTCTTTGTGTGATAATTCGTTCTTGTCTGATGGGAGTGCACGTGCTGCTGATAAAGCCTTTTTCTTCACAATTAAGCAAATGTGTTTCCATAAATGTTGTTGATAAACACTACCTAGTAATTAATTTTGTTGTGTAAAAAGTCCCATCTCTTACCATGTTTATGTTATCGTAAGGGGTGCGCCTTAGCAGGTACACACTTGCTATTTTGTTGCTCTGATCTATTTTTGTATCATGCAACCTTGAGTTGCTAACTCATTGTTGGGACACTGACCTCACATCCTACATATCTTCTACCCCATAAACCCCTCAAACTAGTGATTTGACTAGCAGTGGTTTTACAGTTAGCCTACAGTTCTAATTATGATTTTCAAGTATGATAGTGATTTTAGCGAATTTCCCATATAGGGAATAAGCTATTACCCCAATATTCCAATATTTTTGCTCGTGGTACGTAAGACTTGGACCCGAGACCGATTTTCTTTTTTATTTTGATGTCCCTCGACGCAAAAAACACCATCCGTTCAAATTCAAATATACAGTATATATATATTTATATATATGTAGCCCTATATATATACATAACCGTTATAAAATTCAAACAACTTATATGTATGAAAACTACTTTTGCTAAGCATTACACCAGGGGACGACCCATGAGGAGTAGGTAGCCTACATAATCTTTAATGTAAGCATAGGTTGATATGCACATCATTTTAGAGGGTTAGTCAAGTAGAGTTCATTGCCAGAAACCGCATCTCAAAAGGTTCATCCGTTACAAAATGGCGGCAGTCCAAAGTTCTGGTGGAATATACCTGCACAGGCCTTAGTATTGGTAAATACTAGTAGGCTATTTAAAATTAGCTTGAGAGCTGAAATTGTATTAGTAAACTAGCTCATAGACTAATCATTCAATCTTAAAAACAAATTTAACCAGGCTTCAGCTTTCCCTGCTAATGTTGACTGTGAGCTAGTGTATATCAGGATTGAGACCCCTATATACGCATGACCAATTTGGGCAGACCTTTTTAAATACCAACAAACGGATTTAATTTTTTTT